CTTTTACACCATCTACAATATCAACATCATATCCGATATTTTGAGTTTCATCCTCGCACTTCTCTGTAATATCAAAAGCTTGACTTACGCAGTTCGTGTCGTATCTAAACGATGCTGGAAGTCCTGGAAAAATAATATTAACATTCCTTTAATATTAAAATGTTGCTATAATTACTTTGGAAAATTAAATAAAGAATAAAAGATATTATGTATTAACAAGCATGCTCAATCTATATATTTGTATGATTTTATATGAAAGTCTTGTTTGAAGATTTCCAGTAAACGGATGACTGTTACTGATTTTTTTATAAGTGTTCAAAAAATAAATAAATACATAAAAAAGACTTGCAACGTAAAGAAATAAGAAGAAATTTCATTTTTTAAAAGAAAGATATCAGATCAAAAAACAAAAATATTGATATCAATAGAACAAATGGTCAAATGAACATGTAAAAATGTAAGTGTTCAAGACGCATAATCAAGGAGACTGCAGAGATTAAAATGATCACTTCAAAATAATAATCTGCTTATAATGTTTTGTCCAACCTAGAAATAAGGTTCTAAATATAACATTACAAATTACAACATTATTAGAAATGGTTATTATCTCGTCATTGCACATTTGTAAATACATTGTACTCTATTTACATGATTAACTCAAACTGGTGCACAAGTCGACGGTCGAAGCAAAAGAAATCTTAAATTTGTCAAAAGTAATCCAAATATTGCTTATCAGACTCAGCTTCACGGCAATGTCATAATTTTGAATCATATTTTAAGTGAACGATGCTATTATAAATGAGAGGTTACGTAAATTTGTAAATCTTTAAATTTATATACTTACTCTGTTGATACTCTTCGTTAAGGTGGCCATTTTTGCATGCTCCGCCTGTTTTACTAACCAACATTGATATATCAGCTCTGTTGTTACATCGCAATGCTTTGCCACTTGTACAAGAAGATGCAGCATCCAAAACACTTTAAGAAAAGAAATTGTTCAATTATGTAACTAAGGTATTGTATGATGTTCTGTCATCGAAATGTTTATACACTTATCATTCTATTTATTTATCATAACATTATATATGAAGAATGAACTTTCCTACTTCAGATTTATAATTCAATCATTTATTAAGAAATAAGTATATTTGACAGGGTATGCTTGCTCCTTTTTTCTCCTTTAAATACAAAGCTTGGCTTTGCTGATAACCTTAATGAGCTTGTAAAATGTTCAGAGAGAAAACCTTTGCAAGATCCAATTTCATGATCAATTTAACCACTTGATCAATGAAATGCAGAACAAAATTAAAACTTCTAATGATATGATGGCAATATGTATTCTGACAAACTTAATAAATATAATTGACTTTTTATATTCATTAACAACGTTATCAATAATTATAAATTTCTGCATATCAATGTGCCAAATTGAATATTCTTGAATAACGTCATAATGTAAAGAGAAAAATATTACCTGCACCAGTAATTAAGAAGTTGTATCAAGTCCTGCCTATATATGACCTCTTTGTCAAACAACATTGTATTTCGGCTGGTAGTGTTATACATAGAGAAAATAGCACAGCTGTGATAGGCTTTGTAGATATCCCTGTACGAGTCGCAGTATTTTATCGTGTTTCGACAATCAACATAGAAACTAATTAAAGATATAGCTGAAATTATTGTACAAATTCTTATAAAATTACTATCTGACACATTGATTAAATATTTCTTTGAACTTTTTTGTAACTGTTACATATTCGATATTCGAATAAGATATTCATGATGATTTTTATTCATACAAATTCATCTTGCAACTTCGTAAAAAATCTTAAAGAACAAAATGCATACAAGGTATGAAATGCAAACTAGAAAAAAAGTTCTTTTCAGATTGATATTTTTATTTGATATTGAGAAAAATCAAATGGTAACATTCTTTCTGATATTGTTCTTATTTTAATGCTTATAAAGAAATGCCCTCTCCACCCTGATAATTTAGCCACTTCTTGTAAGTAGCTAAAGAATCAAGCCAGTGAATCCATATTTGTCTTAAAATGATGAAGGATGTGTTAAAATTTTCTTGAAATGGGAACTTAACTGATATATTCTTAGCAGTAAGAAACGCGTGTTTGAAGATTATATTTACACATTTATTATATTTAATAATTAACTCAGAAAATATCAAATTAAGAACAGTAACATTTAGTAATATTTTCTTACCCGTTAAAGCAAAGACAAAAGTAGCTTTATAATCCATTCTTTTCTGGTAATACTATCAAAATGGTCGTGTTAAATTCCTGGTTCAAACTTTACTTTGTCTATAGCAGCAATTAGGATCACGTGACTATACATAAATATCAATTAACTAAATAATGCCGACATTCGATTGGAAATGTCAAGTAGGGAATTTATGAAATAATGGCATTGCTAGCGGAGCTTGAAATGAGCAATTATATTATTGTTGTCGTATTACGGAATAGTTGAATGAAATTGTATGAAATAGTTGTATGACAATATGACCACAAATACCATACAAATATAATAAATAGCAAAGAAATAAAGCATATAACATAGATTAAATACATGTTTTGATAATGAATGTATGTAGTCCTAGGCCACAAAGAAAAAAGGAAAATAATTTGTGCAGTGTTACCACCAAGTAAATGGGCAATGATTATCATAAAATCATGTCAGACAAATCATGCCTCCTCTGAAAGTCGCAAATAGCACAAACAGTAAAGGGACAAAACTCAAATGATATATTATACGTCATTAGTCAGTCAACGGTGGCCTCCCCTGACAAAATGTAGATCAGCGTAAAGGAAATCACTGTCTTTGACTGAAATATGTGGGCGCTGTTTTACTTCCCTAAAATTACAATTGATGTCAAGGGCTTAGGAAACTTAAATGGGTAGTAATACTGTTTACTGATTTACTGAAAAAAGTGGATAAAAGTCACTACATCTGGAAATTTTTCACAAGGTCTCACAAGCAAAATGGAGTAAGCTGTTTAAATAAATTAAGTTTTCATGAGTGTGCTTCCCTAAAACATTGCAAATGACAGTTCGGGAAAAGCAAGAAATCAAATAGACACAAAAGCAAATGTTCTTTTTTTTCAAAACAATACTTCGAATACTGTTTACTCCACAGGCGCCTACACACTGGTTTCGAGCTTTGTACATGAAGAAAGTATTTCAATTCTTTACAAAAACTCTACAAAAACATGGCAGATGGCATGTCCTATAGGCGTTCCTTTTTCAGATCTTTTGTCTTTCATTTTATTATCATGTGGTATTAAAGTCTCAATTCCGATTGGCTTAGGTCTATGCAGTGTACGGGTAGAACTTCGGCGACAGTAAAAACACACTGATCAAATAAAAAAGTGGACAAGAATAATCCCCTTTCAAATAAAATCATAAGTTGCATCGAAAGTCAATGGGAAATGACTGTTATAATAAAAAAGCCTTCAAGATAATTCTCCCTTGAAAATGCACACGGCTTCATATGGAAGAGGGAAATAGCTATGATAAAATCAATTTTGACTTACTTTCCCTGAAAATAGCAAAAGGCTTCATAGGGCAAAGAAACACAATCTGGTAAAATTAAATTCAGCCGACAATTTGACATTCCCTTATAACAGCAAATGTGTCATATGAAAAGGCGGAACATCTTAAAATAACATGGAGGTGATGACCACCGCTAATCAACGCAAACGGTGTTGTGGAGCAAATTGAGGTAACTATTTATAGAAAGGATTAACTTTAGTAAGATGACATAAAATGAACCAAAGAAACAACCCTTGGAATTGCAAATGGCATCTTGTAGCAAATTAATTAACTTTAAAAGAAAAAAGAGAAATGAAAGAAATCATGCAAGACTAGAATATTTTGGGATTGAAGGCAATGCGACGTTCAGAGAACGCAAACCTCACACCCTCACACAACCTGCGCAGGCTTTGTTGAAAACATTACTGATTGGAATTGTGTGTAACCTGTACTTGGTTTGTTGGGGGAGGAATGCATTTTAGGAGTCCTGTTTATAATTTTGGATAAGAATTATCAGGGTTTTTTTTTTGTTTTTTTTTTTGTTTTTTTTTTGTCATTTGGGTTATTATTATCATCTGCTTTTACTTCCGTCAATACAAAGCCTTGTTTTATCAGTTCTTATTTAGCTATCATCATGCATAAAAATACGGATAAATGTTTTATTACAAATAATTTTCTTTCCATTTCCATTTTGCCGATTTCGTTTTTAGAATAGAAAATACATAAATGGTCCTGCATAAATGTTTGTTTTTTTTTTTCAGTTATATATATTTTATGTTGAAACTCTTTTGAAAAATCTGAGATAAAATAAACTCTAGAAAATATAACGTCTGTATCATTTATATAACTTTAGATACATTAGATAATAATAATAATAATAATGATGATAATAATAATAATAATAATAATAATAATAATAATAATGATAATAATAATAATAATGATAATAATAATAATAACATAATGATGATGATGATGATGATAATCAAAGCACAGTGATATTTTACTAAGGAATAACGTTTTAATAATGTCTTATAGCAGGACGAATAATTCCTTCTTTTTCAGGAAAATTGGACGGGAATATAATATCATTGTAATGAAGACCTTTTTACGTGCATACTTGGTGCTTTGCTCTTAAAAGTAAATGCATATCAATCAAAACTTGTTGGCCCTTTTCGTCTGATCTTGATTATACAAATCGCCGAGGAAAATCGTTTAATATGTGGTGTGCAAAATAATGCGTGTGGTTGGAGGTTTGAATAAGCACATTTGAATTTAAGTATTGTATATTAATTCGATATTTTAATACTTTTTTTTTCTTAACGCTAGGCCGATTCAGATCAACTGATATCTATTTAAAGACTGACAACTACCCGTTTACCAATATTGCTATTCATCTACACGTAATTATTTACTGTTTACTATTTAAATAATGCTTTACTTTTATTGAAATGTAGTGAATGACCATGAAAGCGTTGAATCAATATTAAAATAAAATATTAAAATCGTAGGTGAAAATCAAAATTATATATTGAAAACGAGTGTACTATAGCTACTTACCGATTAAAATCAATAATGTACAGTTGTTAGTTATATAAGCTTTTGTTCATGTGTAAGAACATTCATGTATAGTGATTTAATCAAAGAGGAAATTTAAAACATTTATGTATTGAGAATATGTATAAACGATATGTGTTGACAGTGGAAAAAATAGGGTGCTCTAGCAGTCAACCGATACAGCAAGGGAATAAAACGTCAGGTATGATATTTCATTTTTTCATCATGCTTGGTTTTGAGTGATATTTGTTTTAATATAGCACGAAGGTGATTAATTACAAACATCTGGACGCCTACCGTGCTATATGTTTAACACAGAGCACTCAGAATCAAGATCTATTTCCAATCTAACACATCAAAATTATAGTTGGACTATATTTCCGGTTGTTAGATTTGTTTTCGCCTCAGAGTTTCTAAAATCAACGTTCTTTACAGGCTTTTCAAGTCAATTGAAAAAACTGTCGTTATATCTACCGTTAACTTTTCGAGAATAACAATTTTTGAAAACGTTGATCAAGTTTTCTTTGTAATTATTTTATTACTTTTTATATTTTCAAGCGAAATACAGAGTATCTATAGTGAAATATAAGTGATATTTAACTGTTTTTTTCACATTGAAATAGAGGATATTTGTTTAGTTCAATGTAAGATCGGAATCTATTTCAACGAGCTGCGCCATTCGTGAAATATAAAATTTTGGTTTTCACGAGGTGAAGTATACTACGATCTTACAAACTAGACAAATTTTCTTTTTTATTATATGGAAAGAAACGTTTTAAAGAATAAAACCCTTTTAGAACTCATAATTACATTGTAGTTCCGCAGTAATTGAAGCACCGTCTTGTGGAGTTTTACTGTAGCCCATAGTAGAAAATGAGGCTTAAATTTCATCTATAATCAAATTGCAAAATTAATACAATATTGATAATTTTGTTTTTAGTGCATTTCCACTGGATGTCATTACCATAAATGGTCACCTGATTTCTTGTGTGAACACTGTAGTGTGTTAATTGGCAAATAAATTATAGCTCTTTCATCATTATTATGTCTTTCGAAGTAATTGTATATGTATGATTTTTTAAAATGTTCTAATTTGTTAGGGGTTTTTTTTACATAAAATATCACAAACCAGGAAACTTTTGTTAAATTATTTCTGTTTTGCATTACATTTTGAACTCTTAAAATTTCTTTATTTTGGGCATTTATTTCATGCAACAATAAAAATAGTAAATTCCATTAATTTCATATTTGAAAAGCCATTTAAAAAGTTATATTTCATGTTATTATAATTTCAAATTTTTGAATTATATTTATGAATTTGCATAATACTACTACCCAGGACATTAATTGCAAACAGAAATTAAAATATGACTAAGACAAATTTTTGGGTGAAAAAGTAAAAACAAAATGATTTAAACAAAGTCAATGTAAAAACACAACATAAATATCAATAAATGTACAAAACCTCTGAATAACGGAATCCTTCGAAACCGGACTTTTTCGTCTATACCGGACCGGGTCCGGTTTCTAGAGTTTTTACAGTATATTTCTATAAACCACAGAAAAGCATGTAATAAATGGCGTTTTTTTACGATTTTTGCCCTGCATTGTGACGTCACGTAAACAACGCTTCAAACGTCTGTACAGCGTTAATGACTGAATAAAAATTGTTGGTGTTCGGATTTATTTTATGATTAGACCTTTTTCTATAATCCAAGATAGTTTTAAGAGCAAAAGTCATCAAAAAGTTGATTTTATGTATAATAATTGTTTATCTCTCAATTTTATAAAATGAAGTATAAAGAAACGCACTGCGATTAATACCGAATATGAAATAACATTTTAATAGCTGAATCCATTTTATAAAGAAGATACATGGCGTATTAAACGTTAAACCGCTTAGGTAAGAAAAATAGAAGAAAAGTCCTCATATTATACATGTAAACCAACCATCGTTTTTTAAACATAGAAGCTCAAAAAGACACAGATTGATCTAAACAAAATGTCAAGATAAGATACAATGTATTGAAGTTTATACATTTCCTACCCTATAAACTCTATATAAAGATTTAAGGTATCCAGTACGTTCATCATTTAGAAGTCAGAAAAAGCTGTTCTAAATGTTTGGATTTGTTTACGTTTTCTTTTTGAAATCTTACTAGCTAATTTTTATGCCGATAACTTAACGCAGTTTTTAAAAGAAAATTTGACTCAAGACATGAAAACTCGCGTGACCTAGCAAGCGTTTTTTATCACAACGATTTCAAGCTAATTTGGGCTAAAAATGTTGAGCGCGTCACATATAATTACGATAATATATCTTATGAGTTTTACGATGATTTCTCTATGATTCACTATTTTCATACATATGACGTGTAAAAGGTTATTTTTTGGACGAATTTATTCGAACGTATCGCTGACGACAAATAAGGGGGGGGGGGCGTGCCAGCAACTCGAACGCGCGATCTTAGGGTTCTTTTACATAGTTCTTAACCCACTGATCTTATCGTGCGGACTGGTGATATGACGTTAGATAAAGTTGACAAACATCAAATTGAAAATACATGTATAATTTAATTCAACTATTTAAGGTCCGAGAAATGCGTCGGAAAAGAAGACTGATAAATCCACTGATAAGCCACAGAAGACTGGAGCTAGTGATGTGACAACAAAAGATGGGACACAAACCAAAAGAACATTTACTGAACAGTAAGCTGTCAATTTTAAAATATTTGCTATCCGCTTTCTAAATCGACTAAAATACCGCCTGGTTATTAATAAAGTTTGGTATTTGCTTTTCAAATTGACTGGAACACCGTCTGATGTATGTTTCGTGCTCATTTTTAACTCCTTTGTTTTAAAAAGCAGACACGTTAGACAAACGATGATAGACACTATTTATGAAATACTCAATTCTTCATTAAACTCTGTGGAAACAAATATTAACTTTTCATAATTTTCATAAATCAATGCATTTGAAGCTTCTAGTGACTTTATTCCACTAGAACAGTGAGCTACCTAGCCGTGTAATAAAATGGTACCGAGCAGCGATAGAGAAACGGTCAATTGCAACTTTTCGGTCTTTTCCGTCAATTTTCGGATAAGACTTCTGACTATCAAACATTTTTTCAATCATAATATCACCCAAATTTTCATGACATTCATTCGTTACTAATTATATAAAGGTTAAACACTCTGTATTTGTTCACATCAAAGGCATTGTAGAACTTCTTTAAACCCGATTTATTTTCGAGATGATAATGAATAATCCACTACATCTTCTGGATCGGAAATAGCTCGTTTCTTGAAAGTTAGGGGTTTGAAGCCGATCTTTACATACTTTTGTTTTCATTTTCAGGCAAACAGCGGAATATCCGGAAGGTAATATATACATATATAGTTTTAACACTTTAAGTAGCAAAAGCAACGCGTTATTTTTATGAAGTTAACTTAAACAGCCGATGTTTTACGGTTTGTTCGATGCTTGATTTATTTGGTTAGGTAATTCCAGTAATTCTACTTGAATACTGTTTTATCATTTTATTTAATAAGACATGTTGCATGCCTATTTTATGATTACGTTTACTCGAGTGTACAGAATTTGTCTTAATATTCATCATGATTTAGATTTATTACTTTTTTAGAGAAGGAAGAATCAAAAGTAAGCCAAGAAGATGTTTTAAAGACAAAAGCTCTTGTTGGCTGTATTGACATGGAATGTCCGTCACAAGCGAAAATTGTCCGTATATTTACCAGCAGTACATTTACAGGTCTTTACTTTTCTGTCGCAGTATTTTTGCAAGATTTATGTTTGTTTGTCTGTTTGTTTGTTTGTTTGTTTGTTTGTTTGTTTGTTTGTTTGTTTGTATGTTTAATTGGGTTTTACGTCACACCGACACAATATACGTCATATAGCGACGTTCCAGCTTTACTGATGGGGAAAGACCTCAGATGACCATCCGTGCATTATTTCAAGCACGAACGTTTACCTGAGTAGACCCATCGACGTTTCGTAAGCTAGCTGGATAGCTTCCTCACATGAAAGAATCCAAAGTCCCTGTCGGGATTCGAACCCACAGCGGTGAGGCGCAAGTGGTTTGAAGTCAACATCCTTAACAACTCGGCCACGGACGCCCTACTCAAGATTTATGTTAAAAAGAAATGTTTTGGATTTAATTGATCATTTAGATGTAAAATTTATCTTTATTTTCAGCATTTTGTTGTAAGGCTCTTCCATTTTATAATTCAGTATTCAATAATTATAATATTTATTTCACCTCTATAATTTAAGACACATATTCGCTTCCGTACTGTAATTTTTTCTGCATAACTGACACAGTACAGAAGCCTAGATTTGCCATCTGTCAAATTAACGAAATTAACCGGGTTTTTGTGATGAAGAAAGAATTATATTTAATTTGTAAAATTTGTTATAGATACAAAACAAGAGAGAAACATGTTGATGAAGTTTGCCTACCCAAAATTAAAGGAGTATTGCCGGAAAGTAGGTTACGAGTTCCAAGTGGTAGACATGAGGTGGGGGATCCGAGACGAGGCCACTGACGATCACATGACAACGGAACTTTGTCTAAACGAGTTGAAACTATGCCAGAAACTATCAACCGGGCCAAACTTTGTTGTAAGCATTTTCGTTTTTGATGAAAATAAACAACAACAACAAAACAAAATAATAAAGCATAAATTAAATTAGAAAAAAAATGACAACAAACAAAAAACAAAAGAAACAAAAACAAACAAACAGACAACAAACAAACAAACATACAAATCCTAACAACAACAATAATAAAAACAAATATTAAAAAAAAACTCAACAAAACACATTTCATTATGTGGGAACAAATATTTGCGATTAATAACATGCAATTGCTACACGTAAATGGATAATCAATAGCCACAAGTTCTGTCCATCGTCGCTAAAATGAGTTGAACACGTCTAACTCATTCAAATATTTTTCTGCTTCTTTTCAGTCTCTTCTCTCTCACAAGTACGGATATACACCATTCAAAAGAGTGATAGAGTCTGGAGAATTTGAGAAAATATTTAACAATGTCGAAGATAAAGGAGCAAAGGATCTATTTCAAAAGTAAGTACATTTAGTAAATTGTACAACTGTTACGAGGTCAATAGTGATAGATTTACATTTTGAAAAGGCGTACGGAAGATCAGTCGCTCCAAATATTAACAGATGTCTTCAGCACAATGATGCATCTTATGTTATAAGCGTAACCTAAAAGTACATTTGATGTCTGGAATATACAAACATGCACCTGCGGGGTCAGCGGTCCATTGGTAAAGCACACACGTGTCGAATTCTGGTCTTATCCATTAGTTTTCTTGGTGAGAAATACACTAGGCATTGTTAAACCTGAGTCTGGGTGTTTCAAATATCTAAATGCATTTTTATTTGAGAGACCTTTCTTCTGCAAGGTGTGAATTAACACTTGGGAAGGCGGAATTATCCCGTTGTGCAATAATGTACATGTGGCGTCATAAATGAAATGAAATGAAAGAATTCAAAGGGGTTAGATAGATGTATTTAAGATGCCCACTAGTCATGAAAAAGCTATCAAATGAGCGTGTTTGATTGATGTAATTTGGATTAAAAACGCTCTGACTTTTCTTTAACAAGTATCATCAACCACTTGAACTGAAATATCACAACTACTGATAATTACTTACAGTACTTTATTAATATAACATTTAAATTTATCTAAACTGTTCTTTAAATAGATGGTATAGAAAGGACGATAACTCTGTACCCCCAACATATATACTGCTTTCCGTTAGCACACATATACCTGATTTTCTCAGCGAGGATAAGGAAAAGAAGAAGATAGCAAAGAATAAATGGTTGGAAGAGAGTCAAATCATGCAAGAAGCCCTTTCAGGAACAGCCAAGAAAGTCTTTGATGAGGAAACTGCCAGAAAATATCTTCAGTCTGGTAATAATAAAATTGTATCTTAATAAGAGCATTGCAGATTTCGAGTTTATCTCCGTTCTGGACGAATAAAAATAGAAAAATGTTACATCCCTCATCCCCCTAGCACCGGCTTGTTCGAAGCTTAATCGAAGCTTAATCAGTATTATAAAAAAAAACACAAGATGGTCGTGATACAATAGGGGCTGAAACATTAAATACAGAAACGTTAACAACTAGATTTCATTTCACATATTTTTAAAATATTCACCAAATATCATCAAGCGATATTCAGTTTCAAAACAATCATGTGTATACTTTATTTCCTTGTTATGAAAAGTTTTGATAAGAAAGCATTCACGGATATATTAATTTATCATTTGACCTTTACTCAGAGTTTCTTTTCAGCAGACGCATATATATATAAAAATCATATGCATGTAATGTCATTATTTATTCGTTTATGTCGAAATAAGTTCGACTAAAATAATAAATTTGTTATTGTAGTAACGGAAAAGGAGACAGAAGAGGGGCTAAAACCCAATATGGCGAAAGATCATTTTCTTTGGCTGAATAGAAATATTAAAGACATCGAGAAACAAGAAAGCAGCTACGCTCTGTCAAGATACATAGGTACAGTATACTTCTATAAAATATGTCAAGACATATAGGTACGATATCCTTCTATATAATATGCCAAGATATAAACTAAAGGTACAGTTAACGTCTTGGCAATCTGTCAATATATATGGAACAGTTTACTTCTGTGCAATCTGTCAAAATACTAGATATCTAGGTTCAGTATGCCACTGTGCAATCTATCCAAATATACACAGTATACTTCAGTGCAATCTGTCAAATTATATAGGTGCAGTATAGCTCTGTGCAACTATTCACATTTGCTTTTTCTTTCATTTACAAACTATATTAAGAGCGTCATATTTTCAGGGATGTTAACGTGTTTTGAATCGACAGCTTTACAAATAGTTCATATAATTAAATTTGAACTATGAAGCACTCTGCGTTTGTACCATTTCATCTTCCAAAAAATATTGGATCCAATTTTTTCACTTAAGCCTTGCGTTTACATTTCGAGTCCAAATCTCTATAACAATTCACATGGTTCTCATCTTGCCTAATTTTTATTACTGAATCAAGATAATCCACATTTGAAAATTAACATAGTACTCGAAGTAACTTTGCTTGTTGTGGATGATTATTCTTGTGCGAGTTATTTCTTTTGCATATAAGTATTTGAGACGATTTCTTTAAATTTTGTACCATCAAGCGCCTTTTCTAATATAATATGATATAATATAATATAAACACTGTTGAATTTGATCGTTTCCTTTATCCGATGTGTTAATTGCTTAAAATGGTGGTTTACTCCAAAAAGGTCATTTAAGTTGTTTCAATTAATACTAATTCTATTAGACTCATACATAGCTGTAAACCCTAAATTATATGAGGTATATTGTACACTGTATATGTATAAATACCTAATAGTATTCTTGTCCATCTATGCTTTAATTCTTTCTTAAAATGGGGCCATACCTCTGCTTATCTCCAATTTGCGTCACAATACTAATATATGTGCGTTAATATGTAAGTTCATATGTTCATCTTTTTTTAGAAAGTTTTATAACACTTACGTTATACGTTCAATGCAACGAGTCTTCTACTGGATAGCATGACAGCAAAACGAAAGCACGGATAAAGTCAAAACTATAATCCTGTCAATGTAACATGACATAATAAAACAATCAATCAATCAATCAATCAAACAACAGTCAGACAGTCAGCCAATCAACAATAAAACAATCAATAAATGATAGTATTTTAATCATATTTTCAGAATGTATTGGTCCAGAAGAAAAGGTTCAAAGAGCCAGGCAAATGTTGAGGGAATTGAAGGAAGATAAATTGAAGAAAAGACTAGACCCTTCAAAAATTCTTAATTACAGCGTCAACTGGAGTGCTACTGGTAATACAAAAATGAACAGTCAAAGCAAAGCTAGTTAGAATAGTCAATATAAGTCCGACTTTCGTTTTGGATATTTAATAGACCCTCATATTCGCAAAATTATCATTAGATTCTTTTTAGACATGTTAACAGAATTTTTAATTCAAGCCAGTTTGCTCAAGTGGTAAATACGAACAAGATACTTGGAACAGAGAAGACCTTTTAATTGCAAACCGATTGACCTCAAGATTTTTACAAGAAATGATCTATACTTCATTGTTTGATTCGAACCTTAGAGAAAATGCGTAAGTTGTCCATTAAAAAGAATGCGTAAGTGGTTCGTTAAAGAAAATGAAAGAAAATGCGTGAGTGGTTTCATTAAGAAAATGCGAAGGTGGTTCGAATTCTTTAAAGAAAATGAAAGAAAATGCGTAAGTGCTTCGTTTGAAAAAGCCTAAGTGGTTTACCCGTCATAAACAATTGTTGGTTGAGAAATGATATTTTCAGCGAAACATTAGACCGATATCATCCGTATTTTCAGCTGACATATATCGAAAATTGGACTTATAAAGAATACATATATTTCTTTTTCGCAAATCGGCATTAATTTCTCGTAGGGTAGACAGACATTTCTTATCTTTTCTTAGGTCTTTATTTTACAAGAGACAAATTCGTTACACTGGCCCAATATTAAATGATGACTGGGCAGTTAGTGATTGGTAGCTTGGAAATGAACAGTAATTTACACTTTGCTTGTCTAAAGTCATCAACTGTTGCCAAACTGAAATTTGTTCCGTAAAAATAATTGTTTTAACCAAATATGATCAAGTTACAATGTAATTAAGGCTCGTTAAATTGAACATAATATTTTGATTAGTTGTCATCCAAAGTAAATATCAAAACGTGATTTGCAAGTGACGTCCTACAGCTTTGATTGGATTGTAAATCCAAATTTATATCTTATTCCTTTAAGCAAAAAGTAGTTTGTATGAAAAGTGAAATAACAGCACGATTTTTTTTCATACCGTACTAATTGAATATAAATATGTCAGGTAAAATTAATTCGTCAATATTGCTAACAGTTGACGCCCACGGAAGCGTCCTGGTGCCAATTTAACATGTTCTATAAAAAAGATAATTCCTACGTAGGACTTAATAACTCCTACGTAGGACTTTATAACTCCTACGTGGGAGATAAAAAAAAACCTAATTACGAGTTTATAACTCCTACGTATGACATTGTAAGTCCTACGTAGGACTTTATTAGTCCTACGTAGGACTTTATAACTCCAACGTAGGAGATATAAAAAAAATAATTAGGAATTTTAAACCACTACGTAGGACTTTATAACTACTACGTAGGAGTTAAAAAGGCCTAATTAGGAGTTTATAACTCCTATGTAGGACTATATTATTCCTACGTAGGAGATAAAAAACCTAATTAGGAGTTTTAAAGTCCTACGTTGGAGTTATAAAGTCCTACGTATGACTTATAAAGTCCTACGTAGGAGTTAAAAATTCCTACGTAGGCGTTTTAAAGTTTTACATAGGAGTTATAAACTCCTAATTAGGTTTTTTTTCTTCTACGTAGGAGTTACAAAGTCTTACGTAGGAGTTATAAACTCCTAATTAAGCTTTTCTATCTCCTACGTAGGAGTTTTCAATTTTTATAGAACATGTTAACTTGGCACCAGGACGCTTCCGTAGACGCCTGACTTTTGACAGTTCACCAAAGTACGGTTTATTTTCTTCGTGATATCATTTGCAACAAACAGAGAATTTATCAGCGCCATTTTTATTATCATCAAGTCGTCGTTAACAGCAGCGGCGGCGACAGCGTTAGGTGCATTGTCATCTTTGTCATAATTATCATCAACATCATCATCATCGGTATAAAAGCATATATGGTGAGGGACTGTAAAGTTTATCATTAAGAAAAGGAATGCATTTTTGTCTAAAATCGGATGAGATTTTAAGATAGTCTAAATCCCGTGTATATCGTGTATATTTGCTTTTTACATATACATTATATGCCATTGGATCGGTTTTTTTTTTTTTTGTTTTTTTTTTTTTTTTTTAATGGATCATTAATGGCAAGGAAACGAAAACGAAACAATGACTATATTTCTATACCAAAATAAAATGAATTGGGTCATTTTGTATAACGTAAGGACGAACAAGAATTATCTTTTAAAACGATACTGTGCCGAAGTAAGTTTGTTTAACAAGCAAGATTATGTTACTTCTATGTTTTCAATACAAAGGAAAAGTTAGTATTGCATGATAACAATGACATGATAATTATTTCTTGTAGCTATAAAAATATGAAATAACCATTTTGTAAACATTGAAATTAAATGATAGCACTTTTGTGTTGATGATTTTTCAAAGAAAAACAACTTCTATTTAAGTTGTCCCATTTACTTGTTTTACGTTACACTTTATATATTTTATGATCAATTACAAATTAACCAAAAAGTTTTTTAGAAACAAAAACTTTCCTCGTTCCTGTACATATTATTTTAGAAATATCCTCTACATTTTATTTTATAGTGTCCAAACCATTCCTTACATTTTATCATAGCGCTATCCTTTAGATTTTATTTTAGACTGGTTAGAACTATCCTTTATCATTTATTTTTGAATGGTTAGAACTGTTTTTACATTTTATATTAGAATGACCAATGAGAATCCCCGATATCAGTTTGTAATTTTAAAATGACCAATAAAAATTATTCTTATATTCAGTCCTGTTAATATTACAGGAACGAAAAATACTTCAAAAAGCACCGAAACATAATACATATCAATTTAACAATTTCACAAGATTTTTTTGTTCGAACGTCACTGTGTCTTACCTGTAAGGGTGGCCTTGTCTTTTCACAAAACTTGTAGACTTTTGAAAAAGTTTCAGTGTTTCAACTGGTTAAGTTTTTTCTTGAAAATCTTCAAAGATTGACAATTACACTGAGAGTAGAGTTATTTATGTTCATAATATCTTATTTTAATCAAAATATTCTACCCGTGCGACCATTGCAAACCAAGATGAGTCGTCACATCCGTTCAGTCTGATCATGGTCTACTATTCCGTCATTTCCCCCCTTAAATAAAGTGGCTAGACTGAAAGATAGACAAGTCCATTTAAGTTATTTAGCGGGTATGGGTAAGGTTAAAGATGTCGTCTGCTACATTGAACTAAACCACAACGGTTATTCGAAAATCATCTTGATTTACATATATTTTATAAATTTCATACACAGATTTAATACAATGCTCAAAGGGGTTGACCCATACACCATCGGGTCAACATAGTCACATTTAAAAGTCGGGTGACTACTAGAAAGGAATTTTCCGTAAAACTCTCTAATAATTCAGTGTGCGTTGTTAGATAATTGTTTATTTTTAATATTGTTTTAGGTATTGACCCTAATTCGTCAGAAGAGCACAAAACATACTTAGAATCAATGTGTAACGACTTTGTGCATCACATGATTGGCATGGTGGAAAAGTCTGTAGCAGAGAAAGAAAAAGTCACCGATCCTCTGATAGAGGAGTGCCTTCAACACATTCGATTCTGTCAATCCAAATGCGAAGGTTTCACCGGGAGAGGAGAAACATTAAAGGTAAATTAATGATTGTGTTTTCTGCACGATTTTCACGTACAAACGATTGATATATCATAACACCTTATTAAAGCATACTTTCCACGGGGGTGGAACCCCATAAGTATCTCAAACATTAGCATCGGTAAAAAGTATATGTGAATTTCCGCTGTTCAAGATGTGAAGCATAACACCAGATGTGACTGTGAAAGAAGGTCAATCGCAGGGTAAGTTTTCAACTTTTTAAACAGTTATATAAAATTCAATCCTTTTTCTAAGAAAATCGAAATGTGATTCTACCCTCCTGACTCTCCTTAACATTACCCATTTTTGTTTGGATTTCTATGCAGTGTTCATCGAGATATTTTTTTCGTCGTGGGTTCTGGTGTGTCCAAAACATGCATTGTGTATGAAGAAAATGTCACCAAACGGACTAAAAAACAGACATTTTACGAAATCTCACTACCGACGGATGCTTAACATTCAGACAAATCCTGATTTAAACATTTATTGAGATTTTGCTAGAAACGAAGGAATTGCTGCTCAAAATTGCATTTGAGCTCCATATGTGCTGAAGAGATCCATAATTAATGTAGAAAACCATCTACAAAACTATGGACCACTTCCATATTAATATAACCATTGTAAAGGAACAATTAAGGTTTCGAAGCTTTGACTGAAAGTTCAATAGTAACATTATTGTGTTTGATCACCACAATGACAGGGCTTATTAGCTTATGCTAGCATTTAAAATACTATATGAAAATGTTGACGCCGAGCGGATAGTACTCGTATGATAAACAATTCACTAATAAAGGATATGGAACTTGAACAAGCCAAACTGAAAGTATTGAACTTTGAAAAGCTATTTTGAAAAGCTATCGTGCCATATAATATGTTTCTATAATAATGTTTACATTCATAAAAAGTATTTATCACTTTAAGATTCCACAAGTTATAAATATAGTGACGAGACTGTTATGTGGAAATATCATGGCTTGTTGCGACATCGAAGTTTTTTTCTGTACAGAATATGGGCCGAGAACATTGTTTGTAGGGAAAAACCCGAGATGTCGCCCCAGGTCATGATATTTCTACATAATAGTCGAGTTCGATATATATTATAACTGTTTTATCGCATGATAAACAGAAATGAGAATTTAATAAACATACAATTTCAATTAATATCTGGCTTCTCTTAAATTCTCCACTCGGAACCTCGGTTTCTTTTTATGTAACGTATCAATGACCTATATTGTAAACCCCACGACATTTGAGCCAATCAGAAGTATGTTGGGTATTCCTGGTTAGTTTGGATGACCAAAGACACAGAAAAACATTCCTGTAAATAAACCGATCGATGCACTGATTTAGTAACGCGTGTCTGCCAATAATTGTACTACGCGTTGAATTTATGTGATATTTTCCGTTTATTACGGACAATATCTCCCAGATTCTGGCCAAGATCACGTAATCTAGTTTATCACGTCAAAATATTTTGACTTGTTCGGAATGGTAGAGTAAATCAAGTATTTTTGTGATGTGTGTTGATCACAAACAGTAAAAGTATTGGGGGAAAAAATGAAATAAAATTTCTATATTCATGACTTAACGGCGATTCAAAGCATTTTTTGAAATTGCTAATACTTGTTTAATGAACATTGCTTTTGAATATTTACAGCAAATCAAAAGTTACGTGACAAGTTCCGGTGCAGGAGGGAACCAGCCGCTTGTGTTACATGGTACCAGTGGTACCGGAAAAACATCTATACTCGCCAAAGCTGCTGAAATGATTAGATTGTGGATGAATAAACCGACAGTAATCATTTTGAGGTAATAAGAAAGAGTAACGCTTGTCTCATGTTTAATGGGTCTTCGTCTCAACATAGGACCCGCATGCTTCTTACGAAGGGTAATGCTTTTCACGTGGTTATAAATGTGTACGTCTCAAGGCAGGACTTCTGTGACTGAAAGTTATTAAATTAACGGAGTATAGCGGTGTCCACGTAGTTTAAAGTGTATGCGTCCAAACGCTACATTTTAGTGTTTCGGTGGGTGCAATCTAAGGGCGGGAATCGCTTGCCTCGTGATGAAAAGTATCAGTCTTTCAAATGCAAAGATTTTGTGCTTAAATCTACGGAATACCGTTGGGACCATCGTAGTTATACTTTTTAATCCAGGGGGCAACAATACGACAGTGCGATAGTGCGATGACGACAATACGACAGTGCGATGTCGACAATACGATGGCGACAGTGCATAACGCGATGACGACAGTACGATAATGTGACAATGCGATAGAGCGATGGCGATAATGCAAACATGCAAAGTCAACAGTATGAAAATGCGATGACGACAATACGATAGTGCGAAAGTACAGTGCGATCGCGCTGACGCATTGTCGTCATCGCACTATCGCACTGTTGCATTTGATCTGGATTATATAGTGGTTTACATGATAGATTATGGGAAAATAATTTTACTTTCGTCAATAAATTTCTTTTTTTTTCTTCTTTTTTTCCTTTTTTTATACACTGAAAACGTGTAAATAAAATAATAAATTAATAAAAGTAACATTTTGTATTAAAAGATAGGGGAAATATTTAAAATGTATAAAAAATGTAATAAATTGTTATGTTGACATTAAAAGATGCAAAAATAATTTATTAGTACATAGAGGCTATTCATTTCTTCTGTTCGATAATGCGACAGTAAGATAACGCGATGACAAGGTGATAACGCGATGGCGACAGTACCATACCGCAATGGCGACAACGCGATAATACTATCCCACAATCTTAATGTCAACATTGCATTACCGCACTTTCGTCATCGCGTTATCACATTGTCGTCATCGCATTATCGCATTGTCGCCATCGCACTATCACACTGTCGCATTGTCGCACTGTCGCCATTGCATTATCGCCATCGCATAATCGCATTGCCGTCATCGCACTATAGTATTGTCGCCCTCTAACCAAGGTGGCTATAACGGTATTCCGTACTGCTAAGCTTTCACAGTGTTTTCCTGTGACACTAAAACTCGAATCGAAACAAGGAGGATTTGTTATCTTATCTTTCCACATTAAAGTTAAATGTTTTACAATTTAATATACATGTGCATGTATATATGTCTTCATATACATGTATTTATGTTACCCTTACTGATCATGTTATCCGTAACATATATACACGATCGTCATTGCTTCATCAAGGCTATTTGAAATATATTATCATCATTTGTAGATTTTTGGGAACTTCTCCGGACAGTTCCGATTTGATGTCGCTGCTTTATAGTATATGCTGTCAAATAAGACGCGTGTATAATCTTAGACCATTGCCAAGAACACAGGTTTGTTAAAATGTTTTTCCTTAGTCTGGTAGCTAAAAACAATATCGTAATAGTTTGTTTGGATCTTTATTTTACAAGACGACCACAATTTTGAAAGTGATGCGGTTTCTGATGTTAACCGCTTGGGAACTTATGCTAAGGATGTAATTTTAGAAATTTCGAGAACAAATATGTAAGAAATGAGAAGATCTTATTTTTAGTCAGATTGCTGGATACCATATATATATGGAATATATATCACACAAACATGTATGATCGAAATACATGGAACATACATCAGATAAGTGTAAGATAATCTCGCAAATATACCGTGTATTTGTAGTATATCACAGAAAAAGCAACAACCTTTGGGAGACAAAGGTTTTGGGTGCTGCTCAGTGGTGATACAGTATACACAGTATATAAACGATTTGAACCCCAACCGGATCTTGTGAGAAGATGTCAGTGTCAACCATTTTCTGACGCTTGACTTATTTAATATATTGGTATTTATATCGTAGAAGAGAAACTTTATTAAACGTTTAAGTTATGCAAAATATAAATGTTAGCATTAAAACTATAAAATAATCGAAACTCACGAACTGCCTTTATGTGATCAACACTGAACACGAACAAAAATCTGTCTTATTTCAAAGTTTATTTAGTTAAACATTGAATTGTGATATCGAACTACTAAAATAATCAATAACAAACGATAATTTAGTCATCTGCAAAAAATATTGCTGTATTAAGAGTTTAACCAAGGAGGTCAATTCCGTAAACTGAACGTTACTTGCTGGTGATTGTGAACCCTACTTGTGAGTTTACGAATTTTATCTGTACCCTGACTTGTGAGTATTTTAAAAGATTTAATGGAGAGAACTTTTATCATTTAACGTATTTATTTGTTTATTGACAGGCAAAATGGAAGAGTTCAATTGTTTTAATTGCCCCCTTTTTTCTCAGTTTGACAACAATAACATAAACATTATAATCATACTCCAAAGACGTAAGAATTATTCAAAAAGAATTGAAAAAAAATAAAAAAGGACTTTAAAAGCAAATGATATTACAAAAACAGTAAAAGTTTCAAGACAAGAAGGACTTGAAAAATAATCTCCAATCAAGAAATGTCAAAAAATCAAAACGCCTGTTAAAGATGTTCACACATCGACAAAAGATACGTTTTAAGTACAGATGACTAAGAGTTTAGGTTTAAACTTGGAGTCAAATTATTCCACAAATCCCACATTTAAGTTGTGTTTTCAGGGGAATGTTTGTAACACGAAAGCTACTGCCAAGACCCTCAACTACAAATGATTCATCCAAAACCATCTGAAATACATGTATATGGCAATTTATAGAAAGGAACTGGATATATATATATATATATATATATATATATATATATATATATATATATCTTTTGACTTAAGAATCACTTATAATAGCAATGATGAACTTTTCAAGTTTGTGTGAAAAGAAAACTAAACAGGTTGTCTTAGACACTGGCAAGACTGTTAACTATTTAAAAATAAGTGGAAATAAACTTGCAAGAGTGAAAACTACCTTTTACACATTTAACAACAATATGCAGGAAACTCCTTAAAATGATTTATTACGAGTGATCCTAGTCTCGCATGTAAGAAAAAGAAATTCAAGGCATTTATGAGAATATAAAACCGTGTTTCAAAAAGCATAATGAAATCAACGGTACGTGTAAAGCTTCCAACTTGTTGAAATAAGTAATCCTGTGATGATCTTTCGAGGAGGATGGATTGATATGTGACGTTATATAACGGTCACGTCAAGACTAACAACAATGCCGTTGAACTTAATAGTATAGAAACGTTTATAGTACTTATGTTATATCTTAGCTTTATATCTTTTCAAAGAAAAATGAATGGTAAATGAAGATAAGATTTGTTGTTTGATAATTCCTGTCAAGAAATAATTTTCTTTCTAATTCGTATTACCAGCTACTTCATGCGTGTATTTCCATGGACAGTGAGAACATGATGAAGGTCCATTTATGTGCAGTATTGGTTACTTATATAGAACTAAAAGATATGTCATGCTCTTGTGACACAATAACTTCATATTCTTCAAGACATAATTTGGAACATAGGACAAAAACAATAAAAAAGTGACTCGCAAGTTATGGTTAAGTGAAAACACAAGTGTACAGATCATTTAAATCGTTTTAGCAAGACGGGTACAGTTATCAGAATGTTCGCCTCTATCATTTACTGTGTTTTATCAATATTCAAAGATATCCATACAAGTGTCTGTGCGGTAAGACAAGTTTAGACAATAAAGTTAAGATTGAGATAAGAGTTATAGTGAAATAAAATATTTTTAGGCATTAATTTGCTTGTGCAATCGGCGTGTGTTGACATAAACAAAACACGAAGTGAAGAGCAAAGCGTTTTATGCGCATTTATTTAAAGAAGCTGGATATAAATGTATCTATAAGCAAAGAAAAAATATTTCTTAATATGATTCAAATTTTTACATAACCTCTCAGATTAAATGCAAACCGTCTTAAAAAGTTTATTGGTCACCCCGCCTGTTTGTACTGAACTGATGTTGACATCTTCTCACAAGATCCGCCTGGGGTACAAATCGTTTATATACTGTGGTATAGAGATTAATTTTATTTTGAGGCCTAAATTTGAAGATCTGATAATGTTATTGTGTAGTGTTTTTTGCTGTACAGAGGGTTTCTCTGCAGAGGTTGTACTATATGTCGAATATATACCAGATTTATATGTTATAATATATGATTTATTTACATGCATGCTTATTTTCATATAGGGAACATATAGTATATATGCTTAATACACAAGAAATGAAATCTCTTTAAAAAGTAAGCAGCCAAAAATTCAAAGAAAAATGTGAGATAATCACAATCATTCGTTAATTTTTTTAAGAAAAGAAAGCTTTGACCTTTTATAATGACCTTGATCTTTTATTATATTGTTGACCTTTTATTATCACAAATGCATAAATACGCTTCATCAAACATGTATTTATTGGTATTCTTGTTAAGCTGCAGTCTCACTTATATCCCGGCAGAGCTCCAGTTGACGTCCGGGGTGATCCGGGGACGACATGGATACGAGCGGGAACAGCCGGGGTACATCCGTAACTCTGCCGGCAATGTCCGGAATGATCCGGGAACATCAGGCATACGACCCGGGATAGAATAAAATACATGTATTTAATATCAATGGGGTCCTCCGGGGTGATCCAGGAAGGAAAAGCTTTGCCGGATTCATCCTTAGCCTTGCCGGGAACGACCAGTGTTTCACCGGGGACCACCGTAGCTCTGCCTGCACAAACTGGGGATGATCCGGGATATGACATAGCCGGTAGAGGTAAGGGAGAACCCCGGTGAATGCCGGCAGAGCCCCGGCTAATGCCGGCAGTGCCCCCAGTGAATGCCGGCGGAGCCCCGGAGGATTACGATGGAGCTACAATTAATCTCGGTAGAGTCCCGGGAAAGCCCGGTTCATTTCAAAAGAATCACGGCAATTTACGATGATTGCAATTGTTTCCCTTCTTCCAGTCTTGCATAAGGATTATTCAGAAAATCATCAAGCATTACTTATTTAATAGGAGAAAATAGCATCTCAAATTGTCACAAATACATGTATATTAAATGAAAATTATGTATGAACGTTGACATCATTTTCGCACGTTTCCAGTCCACCGGGGTTCTACCGGAACTTTGTCGAGATAGTCCTTGACTCTGTCGGGGCTCTGCCTGGATCGACCGGGGCTCTGCCTCGGTCAACCAGGACTCTGTCGGCGTCATCCGAGAACGACCGGGAAGCACCGGCATAAACCGTAGCTTCACCTAGGCTCTGCATGGATTGTCCAGGACGCATTATGGATGCTAGTTTGGAATAACCGTGGTGCTGCCGGGGTAAGTGTGACCGCAACAATAATTTCACCTTGGATCGTCCCGGATCATCCCAGTAACTTTGCGGGCTGGTTCCGAGCTCTGCCGGGAGTAAGTGAGACCGCAGCTAAGTACTAAACTTAATGTGTTTACATTTATATAGTTTTGAATTTGTCTTTCATGCTTTAGGACATAACTGTACAAATAAGTGACTTTGAATTGATGATGAAGGAAAGTCGTCCTAACCTACCTCTGGTGCTGATCCTGGACTCTCTTGACCAACTAGACCACGCTTACAATGCTCGACAAATGACTTGGTTGCTTCCCAAATTAGCACCCACAACGAAAGTGATTCTTTCAACATTACCGGAGCCAATTTACCAGTGTTTCCCGGCATTGCAGGTATACTATTGCCAATTTACCCAACAGTTTTGCAACGGAGGCCTCTAACTTGTTGTAAATTGTTTTATAAAAGTGTGGCTGATAAGTAATGGCATAAGGCAAATTCTCACAACTTTTGTTGCATGTTAAATGTCATGTCCGAATTCCGAAAGGGCAGATGAACATCTATTCTTTATTTAAACACGAAATAATAAACAAACAAAAAATACTTTTAAAGAAAGTACTTTACATTTTGTGCAGCGTGGAGCAACTCCGTTTATATTAATTGAAAGAAAAGAAATAAGTATATTCTACATGTTGTAAGAACTGATAGATATACATGTATTTCCAATTCATTCAGATACATCGATATGTGGAAGAGCAAAAACTCCTCTATTTAAGTCCCTCGTAGAAACAAATTTTACTTAAATAAATAGAGGATATTCCAGTTTTTTTTCTATAAATACATTATTTATTTATTTTCATCGAGTGTTATGAAAATAAATATTTCACGAGTGGCGATACCCACAAGTGAAGTATGGTTATTTTTATAACACAAGATGAAAATAAATCCTGTATTTATAGAAAAAAAACTTGAATATACTTTTTATCTTTTTTGACCTTACATTTCTTAAGACTCCTTCTTTAATTAAGAAGAAAGTAGCCTGCCAAGATAACAGTGAAAATTCGGAAAATATGCTCCACTGCAGTAAAGAAAACTAGTATTCTTTTCACAGTGAAAATACGGAAAATGAAACTACACATTTTATTTCATCAATATTTCTCAACATTTCATTTATAAGTATATAATAAAATGCAATATACACTTATTACTGTTCAATAATATAAAATGTATATACATCTGTATAGACAATAAAATAAAAAATGTTTGTCTTATACAGTCAGAAATCACCGCACCAGAAAATTTAATACACGTTCCAGTGCTTGAAACAACAGATGTGAAAAGTATTCTGGATAAGTGGCTAGAAATGCGAAATAGGAAACTGACGGACGAACAAACACAAATGATATTGAAAGGTTTTGAGAAATGTCCTACCCCTCTTTTCCTGAAAGTGAGTTACATTTTTATTGCTGTGGATGTGTGCAATTATGTGTGCAATTAAAAATTTATAACTTTTTCTTTGCGACTTTGTACATTAGGAGCGCGTGTGTTTTCATAATGTTCATAATTGCGATCAATATAAAAAGAAATGTTCCGTTTTCTAGGTACACCCACTCAACATGTTGATCTGACTCACACGACATTTTGGTGATCAAAGAGATTTTAGCAGATGTTTTTGTTACAATTTCTGTCAAATAACCAAGGATATTTTGACAGATACTTTTTAAAATCCTTATTCTAGTTTTGTTCTTATAAAACTACATTGTATTTAGACATAGGCAAACTATTTTGAATGTCGTTATATGACATTAACTTGTGAATGATAACTTTATTTATCCTCAAGTTCAACTTTTTTATTTGTTTTATTTTGAGAAACCAGAAATTTTTTAATAATATTAATTTGAACTTTGTGTGATATGACTAACATCTCAGAGATTAATTTTTAGAGAAAGAAAAATCATTTGTGATGAAATAAAAAAAAACTCTTGTTCCATAGCTATCGTTCGAAGAAAGTACAACTTGGACATCATTTTATTCGCCCGAGAAAACCGTGCTACAATCCACTGTGCGTGAAAGCATTGAACATTTGTTCGAAAAATTGGAGAAGATGCACGGGAAAATTCTTGTAACGAGAGCGCTATCTTATCTTACTTTAGGTAATTAGCATCAATCATTTTTAAATGATTCATAACGAATTTATAGTACAGCAAGCATCTTTTTTGGAGAAAAAAAAGAGATTTTTTTATAAATTGACAGCAGTCGTATATATAAAACTATATAAACGTCACCATCATCCAATGAAAAGCGACGTTACAAACGTGTAGTATTATAAAACGCAAATGACGTCAAGTCAAAATATATGCACATTCGTTTAGTGCACATGTACCCAAACATTTGAAAATAATGTATTTTTGGACCCAATACGTGAAAATATTGGACGGTCACGAGGTACAAATGCAGATTGTCGATTGGTTAGATTTATTAGATATATATTAAGAAGAAATATTAAACCTTCTAGCTAAAAGAAGTAAACCTACTCGCTCGTATGATCTAATAAGTAGAGCTTATTATTCTGAAGATTCCTAAAACATAAAACTTGTATTTAACGCCAAATCTGACATGACGGCTGTTGTGATGCGTTTACATTGATTTAATTGATTAGTATCCAAGTAAGGAGCTCCAGTCTGTAATGAAATCACGAACTTCCCACTGTCTTCAAGCGTATCGATATAGATCTAGATATTTAATCTATACCTACGGAGATTAATTTAGGTTAAATAATTATAAAAGTTAATACCAATGACAAGTAAATACATTCTTTGAGTGAATATTTTTAAACTAATTTGATATGATAGATTTCAATGGTAGGGTAATACGTCATCACGCACCTGCAAATCGGACTATTTGTTGTCGACTCGAGATAAAATATGTTTTTATGCCCCGCCATGTAATGGCCGGGACATATAGTGTTACCCTGTTCCGTCCTTCCGTCATTCCGTCATTCTGTCATTTCGTCATCATCAGTTTCCGTTCATTATCTTAGTAACGGTTGTACACATTCAACTCAAATTTGACATATGGATATGTCATGAGAAAATACAGGTCAAGTTCGAATTTGGTCATGGTTCGATGATTTTTGGCAGAGTTATGCCCCTTTTACTTTAAAATAAAATGAAATTTTCAGTTTCCGTTCATTATCTCCCCAACGGTACAACACATTCAACTCAAACTTTACATATGGATATGTCATGAAAAAATACAGGTCAAGTTTGAATTTGGTCATGGTTTGATGATTTTTGGCAGAGTTATGCCCCTTTCACTTTGAAATAATATGAAATTTTCAGTTTCCGTTCATTATCTCCCCAACGGTACAACACATTCAACTCAAATTTGACATATGGATATATCATGAGAAAATACAGGTCAAGTTTGAATTTGGTCATGGTTCGATGATTTTTGGCAGAGTTTTTCCCCTTTCACTTTGAAAATAATATGAAATTTTCAGTTTCTGTTTATTATCTCCCCAACGGTACAACACATTCAACTTAAATTTGACATATGGATATGTTTTTGGAATGCCCAGGCCAAGTTTGAATTTGGTCATGGTTCAATGATTTTTGGCAGAGTAATGCCCCTTTCACTTTGAAAATAATATGAAATTTACAGTTTCTGTTCATTATCTACCCAACAGTGTTACATATTAAACTCAAATTTTACATATGAATATGTCAAAGGAAGACGCAGGTCAAGTTTAAATTTGGTCATGGTTCGATGATTTTTGGCAGAGTTATGCCCCTTTCACTTTGAAAATAATATAGATACATCTTAGGAATAAGCAGTTTAAGTTTGAATTTGGTCATGGTTCAATGATTTTGGACAAACTTATCTTTCTTGAATGTAAGAAAAATTTTGAACTTTCAGTTTCAGCACTCATACTTTTGTGGAAATGTATGTAGCCATTATTTTGGCTACAAATATGAAATATGCTTTTTTCAAAAGGTTAAGACTGAATAATTTCAGTGCCTTGAACATTATATGAAAATGGTTTGTGTTAACATTGAAAAGTTTTAAGGGCTTTGAACTTAAAATTATAAAAATAATTTGTGCAAACAAATTTGCAACTAAATATTATAACATCTGAAATTTTGGCTGCATGCAGGGGCATCCGTGGCATGATGACACATTTCTAGTTATTCTTAGAAATCGTTAGAATATCAAACAATGATGTAGCGCACCATAGATTGCTTTTAAGTAAGTACTTGATATAATTTTTGAAAGGTTTAAAGTTTTATTGTCTGGTTTAAGCCTGAAAACGGGGTAAATTGTTTTTTGGAGTCTGAGTGGGAGCATTTAAGGAAATAAAAAAACTTTATCCCGTTTAAGGACTAAACTAGGCAGTAAAACTTGCAAAGATTTAAAAAAATATTATGAGTAGTAAAGGCAATTTTTGATGCGCTATATCACTTTTTGATATTCTAACGATTTCATAGAATAAAAACATATTTTACCTTCGAGTCAATGGGATGTTTACAAAGAAAATAAGACATTTTGCAGGTGCGCAGTGACGTAGTATCCTTCCTTAGGATTTGATTTTACATGTATTCATTTAAGCGCACAACGGAGCTTCCGAGGCTGAGCTCGAGGACATTTTGTCGTGTGATGATGACGTGCTTAATGACGTGTACATGTATTGGACACCGCCAATACGGAGATTACCTCCCTTACTAATTGTAAGAGTTAGGAATGATCTGAGTCAATATTTAGGTATGTTCTGGATCTAGTGTATGTTCTCTTTCTAATAAGTATTTTTTCGGAGGAAACCCACAAGTGACCTCTGTGAAATAATCTGGTCATAGAACGGGGCATCTGATAACAGCTTCTTAACAACCTAAAAAAATCAGATCATTGTTTTTACTCTGTTACAAAGCAAGAGGGTCAGGTAGGATTTGACCTTTATGAGATTGACGTCTGATCTTCTGAAAACTAGCTTGTTTTGTCAAATAATTTTATTTGGAAATTGCAAGCGTGATTCACACGAACACGTGGTTACCTCGCTTACTTTATAGTAATGATTTGCCAAGCAAAAAAAAGGAGCAAAAAGCATTAGAAAAAGAAATGACCATAAAAGTATCGTTGCGTGTGTTAATAGCTAATTGCTTGGTATTGAAATCAAGGTAGGGTAAAAGATGAAACTATGTTTTCAATTTAGATTATAAAACACATTGAAACAAAGAACACCATGGCATCATCTTTTATAAAATGTCATTATATAATAAGTAATGCAATTATGCAAACTGAGTAAAATTGTGTGATATTGCAGTGGAAAGAGGGGCAGATGGAACTCGAGTAATGTCCTGGTATCACCGACAGTTTACGGAAGCTGCCGAAGCACGTTATTGTTCGGATCCTGAACAAAATAAAGTAATCCATTCAAATCTGGCCGACTTCTTCAACGGAACTTGGGCTAACGGTAATAGATTTATGAACAAAATTGATGAAAGCTGGTAACAGTGCCTTTAATGGTACCTTAAATTGTAAATTTGTTATGCATCTACAATGAACTCTTTCGATATCTTAAGATTTCCAACTGAATGTTATAGAACGTAGTTTTGTTATTTTCATTTAATACTCATACATAATTTAAAAAAAACATATTCCAGTTGCATTCATTGGTTTGACGCGGTCTCACCGCCACGAGGGGTTTGAAATCTTAGTAAGATATATAGACAAAATAGAGATTAGATGCATGTGAGCTAATTAGGAACGGTTTGTCTTGTTTAATATTTTTTCAGGTATCAAAAAGCGTTTTACAACATCTAATGGGCAGACAGGTGAAGAAGATCGTCACGTGTCCGCTCAGCCACTAAAGTATGGGAAGAACTACAATATTCGAGCCCTTAGTAATTTACCTTATCACAGAATTAAAGCTGGTCATGGAAACCTTCTAGAACAGCAATGTCTTGCTAACATTCCATTTTTGTTGTCGAAAATCGAAGCCATGCCATTGACGTGAGTTTCGTATTTTACTTGCTGCAAAGTTAATTGTCACTGAATTGCATATATGTAAGTATTCTCAATTTAATATAATTCCGACCGATTTCTGTATCATCAACATAGTAACAACGTTTATATATATATATACATGTACACTTTAAAACAATTTTGGTTTTCGAATATTTTTTCAGATTTTCTATCAATTTAATATTGATACCAACGTTATCATTCTACCGGGTATTTCAACAGATCCTGCCAGGTTCTCATGTATTTTTTTCTCTCCAAATTATCAAGTTCTTTAAAATATATAACATCACTTTCATTTCTGTGTAGCGACTTTGATGTATTTGTTACGTTCATTTATTACAGAGCAACGTTGAATGATTTTGTCTCAGCGATTGAAGTATTTCCCGACAATGAACTGATCAAGATGATATATGATTCCATGTTGTTATCTCAGAAAGGTCTTGTTACTGACCCTGGACAGATTGTCCCTCAACTTCTTGGGAGATTACAGGAAAATGATGTACATGTATTTTGTTTATAATTGTCTGATCTTTTTACGTTGTTTTAATAATATGTGAGACAAATTATGCATGTCTGTAAGAAGTTTTACTTTTGCGCTTTAGGTTTATTCTTAGTTTGTCTGTAACTGACATTGCATAATAATTCAATATGTATACTCATAAAAACCGTTAATTGCATTTTTTATTCTCAAAAGTATTGGATTAGCACTACAAAATAATACGAAATATCGAGAAATTGTTTCAGGCCAAAAATGATACAGAAAGCACATAAACGTATTTCGCATTTCCGATACTTATCACCAGTCCTTAGGTAACTTTCTCAAGAAACGCAATAAGTTTTTCGAATGGATGTCGAACCAGCGAGAGTTTCCGAAGTATGTCTGTAATATACCGGTAGCGTTCCGCAATGCTTGTGACTTAAATAATCATTTTGCCAAGGACTGTAATGAAAGTGATACAGCAAGTGATATTTGCAAACGGCACATAATCCAAATAAATTACCAAAAGTCAAAATATGCAAAAATAGCTCAAACTGCGTTGGTAAATCAGTTATTCATTTAATATAACATGAAAATTATGACTTGAATTGTTAAAAGTTTCATTTTTCCTTAAAAACTTAGCTCACTTTTCTCAAACTTGATTTTTTCTTCAAATTGGTTGGCACACCTGGAGTCATGCAGCTCTAAGAAAAATGTCAATCTTTTAATCCGCCATGTCAGATGGGTAATTGGTACTGTAAGATGTTTATTATTGGTGTTACAGGTAAACAAAGGGTTCATAGCTCAATGTAGAGTATATCCGAAAACTTTCATAGAACCAGAAGAAAGAATCCTTGAGCGACCAGGTGGACAGCTTGTTCATTGTGTAGCAGCTCACAAAGCTGACATCGACATGATGGATATAACCAAAGATGGAAATTTAGTTGTGACTGGTGAGTTGATACAACCTGTAAGTGAGTTAATACAACCTGTTTGTGAGTTTATACAACTTGTTAGTAAGATAATACAACCTATAAGTGAGAAAGTATAACCTGTAAGTGAGTTAATACAACTTGCTAGTAAGATCATACAACAGGTTAGTTAATATAGCCTGTAAGTGAGTTAATACAACTTGTTAGTAAGTTAGTACAACCTGTAAGTAAGTTAATATAACCTGTAAGTGAGTTAATACAACTTGTTAGTAAGTTAAAACAACCTGTAAGTGAGCATTTAAAACATGTTTTAACATAAATTTATCAAGCAATATGTTACGGATACACTGTTTACCAATTTGCACTGAACGAAGGTCAGTGAAATTGTGAGCGAAATATCTTCAGTGTTCGTTCTATTTATTTGAGGTTGAATTGTATACATCCATCGAAATTTTTAAGAGAAAAGCATACGTGACATTGTTTGTGGAATTGTCCTTATATGTTGAAGTTGTCAGTCACTCAGAAACATATAAAGAAAATGCATAACTGGAGCAAGATCGGAACTGTATATTGTCTGGTCCATACTTGTTACTACACTATACGCTGTTCCTGTCTTGCCTTCTGTTAGCAATAAGGGGCAGATAATCCGGACTAACTGTTATCATGAAAGGATTTTCTCCCTTCAATTTTTCGAATAATATTCGTGAAGCAACGTCGCTGATCTGTCATTTTTAATAAGAGAAAGTGGGTTTTACAAAACAAAACAAACAAAAAGCAAAAACTAGCTGGTTTGTTTGCACGGGGTAATAGTAAAAGGCGTCTAGACACCATTTGGCCGCCTTTTAGGAATCCAATTCTTTCCTGTATATTTCTGTTAAAATCAGGCCGAAAACAGGTTTACTGATTATTGTTTCTAACTAATTTTAGTTTGCGCGAGAAGCCATGAAATAAGTCTGTGGGATATAAAAACAGGACAACAAAAGCGGAAAATTTTGGGAAAGAAACGCTGCATGACAGCTTTGTTTTGTTGTGGTGACAAGTTGATTGCTTGTGTAACGGATAAAACTGTTTTAGTAGAGGAAGTTGTTACTGGTTAGTATTTACATTTTCTAATTCCGATTTTCCGTTATTGTATATGTGAACACATGTATATATTTTGGTAATATTTAGCCTGATTATACCGGTAGATTGTTGTAGCAGCACTTTAACTTGGGTAAGGTGTCAATGATCCATCCATCATTGATGAAAGGAATAGGGGAATCCATAGGAATAACGCAATCTGTAGGAATAAAATCCATAGGAAAAACGGAATCTATCGGAATAACGGAATCCGTAGGAATACTGGAATCGATAGGAATAACGGAATCGATAAGACCATTGGTTTTGACAGGGATGGTGTGATCGTCAAGATAAAAGATCAACATAGGTTACAAAAGTTGATAATTTTTAGGCAACTGACATGAGTTAGATGTTACGCCGCTTTTCCGTGATGTTGTTCATTTTAATTAAGCCGGAATGCTTCCTTATTACCGTAGTTTACGTGGTGCAATAATTCACGATTTTAAACATGGCGAAGTGTGAATATCATACACTTGTGATATGTAACTGATGTCTTGCTTCTTGAACCTAAGTTTACATTTGACGATGTACATCCTTTTTGAATTTTGTTACATTTTTGAAAGGTTCCTATTAATTTGTTAAAAATAGCTGCCGATTTCTTTTTTTTTCCGCGCCGGTTTTAGCAAATTCAACCCCTATTTACACGCGCTTTAAAGAAATGAAATCTATCTAAGATGTAACTTAAAGGTTTGAAAATTAATATGTGTTGTTTTTCTATCTTTACTTTACTTTCATCTTTTGTATAAATGCATTTTAAGTTTGCATTTGCCATGGCAAAGTGTGTTCAATTTTCAATTTTGCCGTGTTGGGCTTTCTTTAGGGATTCTGTATTTATCTATTTTGCCATAGCATTTCGGTATTTTGCCATGGCAAATACTAATAACAAGATAATGTCTATTTATATTACAGAGCTTTGAGTTAAATCCTTTGCAAATCTACAGTTGCAATATAAATATAATGGTATTTATCAAAAAAAATTAAACAATTAATTTTCATATAATCTGCAAAAATAAATAGTTTAAAATGGATATTGATGTTAAATTATAGATACATGTTTAATGCATAAACACAGTGCATGTCAATCCTAATATAAAAAGATAAACATAATTATGTTTAGAGTATAATCTTTATATCAAATCTGATATTAGCATTATTTATTGCAAAACTCGTTTTTATTGCAAAACTGGTTGTGAAAAAATTTCAACAGGATTATGTCTCCGCAACGAGCTTTGCAATAAATCATTACAAAACTCGTTTTATTGCAAATCTGGTTGAAGCACCCGTTTTGGGTAAACCTTTTTTTTTTTTTTTTTTTTGAAAAATTAATACAAGTATCTGTACCGAGGGCATTTGTGTTTGACAAACACATTTATGATTTTTTTAATAAAGGAAGGTTTCCTTATGATTCATTCATTATAAAGATTCTTAAAAGCTTATAAATGACCTTTTATAAACGGCCGTTTGCAATATAACCGTTTGTATAGGGCAATGAACCCTTTAAAAATCTATATACCTTATTATATACACTGCTGTCAAATTTTAAAGAAATTTTCTTTTCTCTACAAAAGGAAGCTTGCTATATTATAAATTCGTTATAAAGATTCTTGACAGGTTATATGGTCCTATATAAACGGTTGTTATAACTAATAACATAATATGTTATTCCTTCAGGAAAGTTGTATTGTACTGCCAATATACCTGCAGACCCAACCATATGTGTTGCTGGGAAGGACAAGACTTTTCTGTTAGCATTCAAACAAACTGCATGTTTTCTATATGATCTCCAAGATAACGGGAAGCTTATCAAGCAACTGATACATCCAGAAAAAATGAAATTTGGGGGACTGAGCTTAACTGATTGTATGTGAACTTTGTTTTAAATGTTTTAATGTAAAAATTTGGAAAGGTGTTCAAGGTGGGGTATGGGCTATGCCCGTCTCCTGGATTATAAAAGAAACACCTTTGATATTTGGAATCCAATTAACTATTTCAGTGAAAGTCTTGCAAACCTAGTGAATACTAGTATCAGCAAAATGTGTCGTTTTCATGCAAAAAAATAACCACTCAGCCTATCTGTCTTCGTGGTCAATTCCTACGCATAATATGGTACCATAAGCGTAACAGATGCCTGTAATCCGATGAAAAAATGCGTTAAATGTAAAATAATAATATAAAAGAATACCAAAATGAAAAGATATTTAGAAAAAAAATGAAAACATTTCTGAAGCATAATGGGTCTTTAAAAAGACAAGATATTTGAAAAGCATCTCATTATGCATGATAAACTAAACGTTTCCTTTCTGATAAAACATACAGGTACAGAGAACTATGTCGCCGTGACCGACTTCTGTCAACGTTTTATATCCGTCCTTGACCTTAAATCCATGACCTTCATAAAAAAGTTCAAAGGTTCCGTGATTACTTATGATAAGGATGGTAAAGGAAAATGGCAGGAAGTTTTGACACTTGCAATACACCCCGATGAAACTCACCTAGCATTTATTACTTTGTTCACCAGTGAAATCATATTCGCCGATTTCCATGGAAACAAGATCAGAAATGTGCCAGGTATAGATAAAACTTTAACATAATTGTTATAGTGTTATTTGTTTTACTCTTTAGATTCAGCCGTATTGAAAAGTAACTTAGCTTATCTATATGAATACTTTTAAGTTTCAGTTTTGCATACAATGCCAAAAATCTTATTTAAGATATAAAATGGCTTAAGAGGAAAGAAAGCATAGATAATTTACATTGCTACTTATTCCGCTTGCACATGCGAGATCTGCTGCAATCAAAATGGCATCAAAAACAACTGCTGAAAATGTCCTATAAGTACAGTGAGATACTTATTTTAAAGCTATGACTATGATCAGGAGCTTCTTTAATATTTTGGCCGAAAAATATTTCGTCAATCAAAGGGCAAAAAATCTTACATATGGTTTTAGATAATGGTTATCGGATGTTTGAGACTGTAGATTTTACGCCAGATGGGAAACATTTCTTTGTACAGACATTCAATCATCTAATTTTCTTCAACACTGCCACATTAAATGTAAGTTTACTAGAATATTTAAACGTATGTACGTATGTAATCACTTCGTTTAACACTTTGCACTATCAAATTTCATTCACAATTAAATTTCACTTGATAATTATTATGATTTCGATTAGTTTCAGTATACTAGTACATTTGTATATTAAAAAAAATGGACGTTTTCTTATAAGCTTCACTATGGCAGAGATGTTACAGCACCTTACCTTGGACCACTTGCCTAGCAAGGTTTATATTCTGTCTGCAAGGTAAGTTGCTATAACATGTTAGGACTATTTGATTAGCTTACAGTGGGTCGGCAGATCTATTCACTTGGCCGTTTGCGTTGGAAATAATGCATTTGCGAAGTCTTCCTGCTATAGTAAAACTCAAGGAAATGTCGGCATATGACTTTTTACAGTGACGTGTGACTTAAACACGACTTAAAAGACGTTGAAAGTTTAACGAAGACTTCCGAAACAGTTATTATAGGAACTAATTTTCTTACTACAGTAACTAACTCACTAACTAATTAACTAATTTACTAACTTACTTCCTAACTAACTCACTAATTAACTACTCAAGAATGGTGCCCCGAAGGGCTGCATATCAAAATCGCATCGTCTATCTGTCCGTCTGTCTGTTCGTCTTCACTTATACAACATTCGAGTTCGGACTTTATTTTTGAGGCCCCAGCTTTGTTATCTCGTTTATTGTCCTCGTAATAGGTATGAAGGGGTCGAGGGCATCCCCCATCATATTGCATATATATAATTTAAACATATCAACAGACATAAACATATCAATCAAATTCATATACATTGTATCACATTGCATAATGATTATTATTATATAATCTATAAATAGCTTTGAAATGCCTTTCCCTGATTGGCTGACAAGCAACTTTTTGTAAAAAATAACAGGTCAATATCAGAGTATATTCACTGTTTTTTTTCCTAAAAATAGATTTTAAGAGTATATTCACCGGTTTTTCTTCTAAAAATATATTTTCTGGAAATCCCTAAAAGACACGAGACTTTAACGAGACGTCACGCAAAGTTTGTTGTTATTATTCTGAAATAATAATATTAATCACTTTAAAAATGTTGTGAAGCTTAGACTACAAGATCAATTTTTACAAGATTGGCATAGTACTATTGATACATCCTCTAAGTGTTTAGTGTATCGTACATATAAAAATACTCATTGTTTTGAAAAATATCTAGATGTACTTCCTTTTGACATAGGCATATATTTATGTAAATTTAGAACAATGAATCACCTATTCCCAATCGGAAAAGGCAGACATTTGGCAATTGATCATAATAATAGGGTCTGTTCCTTATGTCCGTATCAAGCTATTGGTGATGAATTTCACTACTTATTTGAATGTTCGTACTTTAATGACATAAGACGTAAATCTCTTCTTTCCAGGTTTTACACTCATCCCAATATTTTTAAACTTGACACATTAATGAATAGTTGTGATAAAAATATTCTTCTAAAATTATCTTTATTTTGTAAAAACATTATGTTAAAATTTAGATAAGTAATACTTCTCATTCTCCGTTCTCATTTGTTACAATATAAAATACATGTTGTATTGAATTCAGAACTTGAAACGAACAATATGATCTCCTTTTTGTTTATTAAGCTAGTCATAATTGTATTTTTATATTGTGATATTAGTGATTTTTGACTGTTATTTTTCTGTTTGTTTGTTGTTATAACCAGTTGCATATTATATGCCTTGGTTTAATAAAAACTGAAACTGAAACTGAAAAACGTTGAATGGGGTGTACATAAGAGTCAAATAAGTCTATTTTAGTTACCAGTTTTCATTTTTTAAAAACAATAGGGATTAGCATGCCAATGGAAAGGGCCAAATTATGGAAACAGTAGACAAGCTGAAAAATAATGATTTCCGTCGTATGCAATGGCAGATGTGATAAGCCATATAAAAGCTATTTATAAAATATATAATAAAACAGATATGTACTTTTTAGCTGTTGAATATGATGTGACATGTACTGAAAAATTAATATTGATTTTTTCAGTACATATCACATCATATTCAACAGCTAAAAAGTCCATATTTGTATAACAGTTAACACATATACATGATATTTATAAGTTAATAATTATACATTGTATTATTTATTTACATTATAAAAAGAAGAATGAACAGACGAAAATAAAATCTGAAATAAATATCTTGCATGCGTTAAAATTGTTTTCTTTTATAATAGCAGAATTATCAAATTTTGATGTAGTTACACAAAAAAAGATTTAACAATTGCCTATCTATTGATTTCTTCTTTTGTCAAATTCATTTTTTTATTAATGATACAATCACTTGAGAGGAGAAAAACATCTAATTACCTTGCTGTATAGGATTTGTGCGTCGCCATGTGTATTTTTTGACATCACTATGCAACTCTCTAAATGGGCCAACAAGTTTTTTTTTATCTTCTATAGTATCTAGTAAAACATTTCTAGCTTAAATATTATTATTTCTTGATTTATAATTATGATAATCTAATTCAGGATTTTGTACTAGATTATAGTCTCCACAAGGTATTAGAGAGTCATTCTCATTAAAGGTATCTATATCATTAAAAAATACTTTAAAAATATGGACTATCTATGTAAGGGGCATAAATATTGACTAATATAAAAATTGAAGACTCAAGCAATACCTGTATAATAATATATCATCAGTTCTTACTGAATTAATTTTAATATCTAAACTCTTTCTGAATAAAATTGCTGCACCCTTGGCATTTGATTTTCCGTGACTAAAATAGCCGAAAGCATTTACTCAGAATACATTTTCTTTTTTATATCTTTTACAAAATGGGTTTCTTGCACACAAAGTATCAGCTTCTTTAGTTTGAAAAAAGTTTAACACATCACGTCTTTTAATACTATCATTTAAACCAAGGCAATTGCAACAGAAAATGAGACTACTCATTGAATATTGATTCATTTATACATTTCCTTCTATTTATACAATTCAAGTAACAACAACATCTTACTAATATTATATAAACCAAATAAAACAATACTTCAAGCCTCAACAAGATACAAATAAAATGATATATTAGCAAAACAAAAATGAACAGCATTGCAACAAAAATAAATTTCTGTTCAATCTTTTACACAAAAAAACTGTACACACAAGTCACTAGATTTATATAGAATTGAGTGCTCTATAATTTGATATAACTGTAAATTTATTGCAAAACCTAGTGTGTTCTTAAAATAGCACTATATTTATATATAAGCTTACCTGGGTTTTCCAAAAAGTAGTATAGTAATAATTCACATGTATTTAAAAAAGAACACTAGTGCAGAATGAAAATTGAAAGGGACCATAGGAATAGTAAAATGGTCTATAAAGATAAATATCAATTCTAAGGATTCAATAACAAATCACATAATTGTTTTATGTTTATAAAAAATAAAAACACGTTCAAACAAACCAACAAATCAGAACAGGCAGAAATGTTATTATAATGTACAATGTCTATACTTAATTGCCTGTTTGATTTCATTTTATCTCCTTCCACTGTTGGAATGGGCTTTGGATGCAGCAATAACTTCATTTATAGTTTGTCATATAAGTCAAACTTAATGCGATTTTTGGTGTGTGTCATTCCATAGACTGAACCATTAAAGTACCAAGCACTTTCTATATCAGTGTGTAGTTGTAAGCGGTTGATCAAACCAGTGTTGGCTGATGTGACGTCATCTACCAGTCTATGACCAATCCTTTTCATTTCTTTCCTTTTTTATCAATCTGTACTTAACATTGTTATTAATGGTTATTATAAGCACTGGTCTTATTCCCCTTTTTCTTGTTGGGATACGATGTAGGGCAATTATTTCATTTTTAGCTACCTCTACATTCTGTGTTGCAAAGATATCACACACTTTCTTCTGGAACAGCCATTATTTTTACATTTTTTTACGTGAGTATTGTTCATTGTAGATGGGGGTTTTCAAAGCATCATTACTTCTCTTTCATTGTGTTGGTTTTGATCTTCATTTATCTTTTTTGTAAGGTTGTCTAGATTTTAGCTGGTCTGTAAATTGTTGATTTTCAAATGTTATAGAGTCAATTTGTATATTAAATTGTTTTGTTTTTTCTTGAACCTTGTTCTCAATATCTTCATGCATATTTTTTCAAGTTCATCCATAATGTTACAAACAGTTGTTTTAATCAGAGCTTCAATATCGTCCTTTTTAAGAACATGATCCAGATTCTGTTTTACTTTGCTAAGGTTCTCATTCATTTCATCTAGTTGTGTTTGAATAATGGACAAATCAAGCACACTAGTATTGCTTTCTTCACTGACATCAGAATGAGTTCCATTATTTTTAAGATTAAGAAGTGGTTCATCTGTATAAGATTTCCTTTCAATGAGTTATGTTGTTGTTGGCGATTATGCTTAGTATTACCCAATGTCTGACCTTGTCCTCTATTTGACATTGTATTATGTTTCTATTGTATTCTTTTATAAACAAAAATAATTCGGACTTTAACTTTGTCATGTAATGAGGAATTTTTTAAACAGCTTGGCACAAATGTGTACCACATCAAAACAATGTGTCGCGTCTATGGACCACGTCCCTACATCAAAGGTCAAGGTCACACTAATATTTTGAGGTTTCACACTATTTCAATTAGAGTCGAAATATTTAAAATAACTTGGCATAAATGTTTTTCACATCAAGACAATTTGAAGCGTACGGAAACCATGTCCCATTCAGGAAGGTCAAGGCAACACTAATATTTTGAAATTTCACATTAGCATGATTGTAGTTAATAGGTTAACACATGAGTGTCCGGACAGTAACCTTGTCCACCACATAAAGTCGACGTGTCGCGCCCAAGATCCATGTTCCTACCTCCAAGGTCCAGCTTAACTTTATAGTTTGAATAAACTCATTCTCTTGAGAGTACTGGATATTTGTCAAGCATTGAAAGATTTAAAAATAACTTGGGACAAATGTGTAGCTGCTTTGGCTCATGTCGGTCTGTCCGCCTTTGCGTCCCCACTTGCACAACATTCGTGTCCGGACTAAAACTTCGTCATGCATTGGGGGATTTTTAAATAGCTTGGCACAAATGTCTACCATATCTATTAATATAACCCCGTCCCTACCTCACACATACATTTTTAAGGTTCTCACTATCAACACATGATCAAACGTAATGGTTTGGTGGGTACACACATTCCTGTCCGGAGTGTAACATTGTCATGCGTCAAAGGATTTTAGAATTACTTGGTATAAATGTCTACTACATCAAGACGACGTGTTGGGTTGAAGACTTAGTTCCTAACTCAAAGGTTAAGGTCACACTTTGGGCGTCCGTGGCCGAGTGGTTAAGGTCGTTGACTTCAAACCACTTGCCCGTCACCGCCGTGGGTTCAATTCCCGACAGGGACTTTGGATTCTTTCAATTGAGGAAGCTATCCAGCTAGCTTACGGAACGTCGGTGGTTTACTCAGGTGCCCGTTCGTGCCTGAAATAATGTTCGGAAGGGCACCTAAGGTCTTCCTCCACCAGTAAAGCTGGAACGTCGCCAAATGACCTATACTGTGTCGGTGTGACGTAAAACCCAAACAAACAAACAAGGCCACACTTATAATTTGAAGGAAGTACACATTCCTGTCCGGACTGTAACTTCTGTCATTCCTTGGAGGATTTTTAAATAACTTTGCACAAGTGTCTACCACATCAAGTTAATGTGTCGCAACTAAGGCCCCTGTCACTACCTTAAAGTTCAAGGTCACACGTGGAGGTTGAAGATACATATTCATGTCCAAAATGTTACTTTTTCATGCATTTAAGGATTTTAAAATTACTTGGCAAAAAGTGAAACACATTATAGTGACTTGTTTTATTTAAGACCCATGCCATTAAGTCTAAGGTGAAGGTCACACTTTAACCTTCTGACAAGTAGAGTTTAAAGGGTCACAAATTGTTGTCTGGACTGTAACTTTACCATGTACGAAAGGATTTTTGATAACGTGGCATATATGTCTACCCCATAAAGACGATATTTAGCGCCCAAGAGCCATGTCCCTACCTCTAAGGTCACTCTTACAGTTTAAATTGAACTCATTTTTTCAAGAAGAGTTTGAACACAACACTTGTTTTCCGGACAGTAACTTTGCCATGCATTGAGGAATTTTAAAATTAACATTTACAAATATCTACCACCTCAAGACGACTTGTTATGTGTAAGACTCATATTCCTACCTCAAAGGTCAATGTCACTCTAATAGTTTGGAGGTACTTATGCTTACAAAAAGAGTTTGAAGTCCAAACTGTAACATTGATGTGCATTGAAATATTTTAAAATAACCTGGCATAAAATCTGCCACATCAAGATAAAATGTCTCATCCAAGACCCATGCCCAATTTGCTATAAATAGAACTATATAAAAAGAACAATATAAAGGAATAAGTTACCTTCATTCTCTTTTCTTTTAATAATACATTTCTGAAATGCTTAAGACCATTTAGGGTGCATTCGTCAGTTTTGCGTGACAGATCTTGTTTAACTATAGGAAATTGACGTGCTAGATCAAAGTTACGATTTGGTAGCAGCAAAAACGGTAGACATGAAAACGGTAATCACTGTTGCTAATGACAGAAATTTACGAATCTGGGACCGGACTAGAAGCAAACAATCTACTACTGACAGAGGGGACTATAATTTTTCCCAAAAGATAAAAGCGCTAAGGTAAGATAATAATATGTTCCTTTATCCTTAAAACGCTAAATATGTTAAATGAACTTGTCCAATTTCAATCTGGACAAAACCATTGATTACTTTTAGGGAGAATATCTATATATGTATTGACTAAATAAGAATCAGTGCAGACTATGATCAGAGCGTACAGATGTTCTAACAGTTCTTGGTCTACACCGGTCGAATGGGCAGTATCAGTTGTCTGTAGCAGAACAAGTTATACTTCAATTGCTTGAGTAATGAAGTTTTCAATTGTCACATTCCTCAGTTCATGTTAGTTACTTTCTATTTAGTTAACTTCCTGGTTTTGAAGTATATGAAACATGATAATAAATAATACAACATGAACGAATCGTTTCATAAAAATTTTAAATAATATTCAAGGTGGATATCTTTAATTGTTTTTGTACTGTTTTACAGAAACATTTGGTCATTGGGATCTACAAGATATATATTCGTCGACGGCAGAGCAACCAATGCTTTGTCATATGAAGATAGACTTTTTGGTGTTTATGATTGTATCACGGACCAGTTTCTTAAACTGCGAAGAATGGTTCATATTTTCATCAATATTTTATGTTTTTTTATTGATAATTAAATAAATCTGGTTGCTCTTTAAAGGCGCATGATGCCTCAGAAGAAATAATTTCACGTTGTTTTTTTTTTTTTAAAAAAAGAGCATTATGTGAATTGTATAACGCTTAAATAATGGTTCACGAGTATGGTGAAAGCATGTAACATGAAGAAAGTGGCGGTAATTGTGAAAAATTGTGACTAGCAATTTATTTCAACACCAATGGTTAACTTCATTTATTCGCATTCATGGCCATGTAACGATTTAGTTGAAATGAAGCACAGCATTGAATATATCAAGTTAGATTAGGCGGTAAAATGTATTACAAAGATCCAACCATATTTAATCATACACGTAAAACAAAACATATTCATAAACAAACAACAAAATAGAAAAATAGTTTTTTTTTCTTTATTCAAGGTGGGAAGCTATGGAGTCAGTCATATTGATGCAACAAGGGTTTTGTTATACTTGAATAGAACACTTGTGTTTGTCTTCAATTTGAATACGATGAATGTTCAGACAAAACTGCAGTTCTTCAGATGCAAACCTATGCAGCTTGTCATACCCACGCATCGGAATCGTAAGTTCTATACACTCAGTTAAATAAACCATGGGGCGTCCGTTGCCGAGTAGTTAAGTTCGATTATTTCAAACCCCTTTAATCTTCACCGCTGTAGGTTCGACATCCATCAGAGACTTGATTCTTCAATGTAAAGAAGCTATCTAACTAGCTATCAGAACGTCGGTGGTTCCATTTTGGTGCCCTTTAGTGCCTTAAATAATGCAGGAGAGGGCATTCGAGGTCTTCCTCCACGAGCAAAGATGGAAAGTCGCTAGAATAAATTGTTGGTGCGACGTAACCATGAAAAATATGATCATTGCGTCGTCAATATCGCCGTTATGAAAAAACTTCAATGCAGGTAGCCCTTTTTCAAATTATTTTAAAGTAGTCAATACGAAACTTAAAGTACTTAATAAGCATAATAATATGTAGATGTAAACATGGGGCATAATTCCGAAAGCAATATTATTAGGGGTTATACCTCTTATTACCTACGAACCCAGTAGTATAAATAGTATAAGCAAGAAACTTAAAATTCTTTTAATTCATGACAAAGGATAGTTGTAAGACATAAGGCATTATTTTAAAAGAACCATTTTTAAAGTTATGTCCTTTAATAACTCACTTTATAGATTTTTATTAATTACCGCTTAAGAAGTAATAAAGTCATCAACAGCTTGGAACTCCTGATTTTGACAAGTACAAATGTTGCCGCAACGGATCAATCCAGAAGCTCCGGGGAAAATACGCGCTCATTATAGATACCTTACCAAAAATCCCTACACACAGGTCTTATCCTATTCAGATTAAGTACTTTTGTACATTATTCCGAATGTTTTGTAAATCATTTTTGTATAAGTATACTTATCGCATGCACTGTTCATAAGAGAAGAGCCAGATATTATTTTAAAGTATGCTTTATGTGATGCCTACCTGGTAAGGAAAGTAATTCCATTGAATACAAACAAGACTTACAAGACTTGTAAATGTAATGTGACATGAAAGTAGAGCCACAGTGTTCTGTTTGTGTCACTACTGTAGCCAGTAATATAAGATGGTAAAATATCAAAACATGTACATTTTTTGTACCTATAATCCTACTCATTTTCTACAAATATCAACAACTCATCATGGTAAGAAATATAAAAAATCCATATGTATTTAAGCCAAATTGGACTTTACTTTTCAAAATGTCCTTTGCATGTTTCGCGCCATATGGTATATCATGATTTAAAAAGAAAAGCATTGATGCAAAGCATCAAAGGGCGTCCAAGCAAGAAATGCAGCAAATGACGATGAACTAGTAAACATCTGATGACTTGATAGTCTTATCAAGTTTTCAGTGGTTAATTGGAATTTACCAGAATTGTATATCATAGACAACTGAGAGGACAAAAAAACATTGTTCATCATGAACTTTTATAGGTTTGCTAGAGATTAGAATATTAAAAGTAATTTACAAAACAGTTGTCAAAATGAACAAAGTCTGTTTTTTTATTATTATAATTGTAACAAATATACAAATAGTAACAAAAGGGACTAATATAGTAATATAACATGCATTTTTTCCATGTCAAATTAAAAAAAAAATAGAAAAAAAATACTTTTAATACCTGGGATTTAAGATTTCTAATCCAAGATAAATACTGAAAGTAAAACACACACTGAAAGAAAAAAAACGGAAAGAAGGAAAAAAGGATTAAATTCAGGTATTTTTGTTTGGTTTACGCGTTATATGGTGATACATTATTTATCAGTATAATGGAAGACTGTTACCTGAATTTTAGACTGGTATGAGGAAATTCACTAACATCATGTTCGTGCGAGTCAAAAATATAAAAACTGCTTGACATTGGTGCTATATGAAGATTTATTGCTAATTGATTTATTGGAAGATCAATATGTTATATTGTTGAATTGTGTCAAAACCCCCAAACAAACCGTTACATCTCATGTTCAAACTGCAGACGAAAATTTCTGTTGTTAAAATGTCACAGTATTCGGCAAATCAACATTCCACTCAAACCACCATAAACAGATTGCCTTCAAACAAGATAGAATAAACCTCCTATAGACAAAACATCAAGCAATAAGGGTCGATTTAAATATTCACAGCAAAGATTTCAGAAGTGCAATCAAGGCCGTAAAAAGAAAGGAGCTATATACCGGAAAGAACCTACGGAAAATACCATTTCAAAATCACAATACTATGATATTACAATTAGTAAAAAAAAGTGCTTTCTTAATTTTTTTTGATGAATTTATAAAGAGTGCAATTTATTGCTGAATATTTGTGCATTTCATTTCCCGCAAAATTCTCCAAAATTCTCTTCATTATTTATTACCATAGCGCGACACGAATGACGATTTTTCGTTTAGACTAAAAGAACTTCTATACATAGACTTTCGGACATTCACAATGTGAAGGTCATCTAGCTATTTATAGCTTTAAAATACATGGACAGCAGTACTGCTTTCAAAGCGGTTGAACCGTGAAATTTGTTCCCGTTATCATTCATTAATATGACATGCTGCAAATCAACGAAGGGGAAAGCAATATATGACTTAACATGATAGAAATCCGAGCGAGTTCTTGATTCCGAATTTAAATTTAGCTGTAAATCGAAGGGATTTATTGATAAAAATCGGGCCCATGGACAAAAAAATAGAAAACACAAAAAGCTCCGCGCCTGTGGGCGCGGAGTAATGTTAGACGAGCAGCGTTATCATATAAGCAATATTTTTTAAGTAAAGCACCTTGATAAATAAGTGTTATTCACAGACGAGCGTTTATACTGTAAGCAATGCTCTAAATGTTGATTCAAGTACAAAGATGCATGACTACCAACCTATTTGTTTTATGAACGTTATAGGCGTAAAACAAAAAGGGGTTGTTAAAAATTTAAAACATGTGTGTATTTCTTTTCAGAGCTGATTTGTCTCACAAAGGCAGGCAAAAACCTTAAAGTCTATGACCTCAGTACGGGTAAGGTTGTGTGCGTCTTAAAAGCAGGACAGACTATGACTTTAAATTTCTTTGATGTAAGTAATATAACGAAGGTTATTGGAAACAATTGTATAATTTTGCAATTTGCTATATAGTTTATATTCAATCAATATTGTTGAAATTTGTGTGTAAATATTTAGTATAAATTTTTTATTAAATTTCATGGTACTTTCGAAATCATGCTTTTAAATGATTGTATTTGTTTTTATGTCTGTTTTCACGTTTGACATGTTTGTATTCAGTTGATTATGGTTAAGGCAGGATTTTTAATGACTAATGAAAAAAAACAGCAGTGTATAAATTGTTGATCGTGAAAACGTATTTTTGTTTCTCAATATAAGTTAAACAATGTATATGGAACATCCAGCACAACAAGTTAAACGAAAAAAGTTTATTACAAACAGTTAAACTGCTTCCTTATTCTTTGTGATGAAAATTAAGTTAAAGGCCCATTATGCCTCAGTAATGCAACCATTTTCATTACTCAGAAACTTATTTTTTTAGTTTTGGTATCTTGTTACAGTTTCCAAAACAAATTATTCATTTGCAACTTAGTTGATATATCTTTGCGTCTTTTGCTCTGTTGGCAATTGTTAGAATTATAGTGAATAAATATGCTAATGTAAGTCAATATACTATGTTGATTATGTTTTGCTACCTTCATGACACATAACTGCACGTTCTATGCTACTTTCATCAGTTGTTAGACAGATGATTAGCTCTAAATTTATTATTAAACATTATTAAACACATACTTGACCATTCAAATGAATTGAAAAATATGGATTTATGGGACATGATGTGTTTAAAATTTTATAAAAATATCTTCATTAAAACGTAGTACAAAATCTGTATGCAATATGGTTTGCCATATAGCCGAGACAGCTTATACTTCAATGGCATTTTGGCAACAAATGTGGTTAAAAATATTTTAAAATGGTAATATATTGATACCTCTTGCAGGTGAATAGCACAGGAACAGTTGCGTGCGCATCTTCTGATGAAGGGCCGCTAATCCTGTATGATCTTGTTGACCAAAATGTGATGTATACCATTCCTTCAAGTAAGTTTTTACTATGTTTTACACGCTATAAGTAAGTCAACCTCAGCATTTAGGTGAATTTAAAATGAATTAAAATTAATGGAAATTATTTCAAATTGATAACGAAAATCATAACCTTGGTTTATGGATTATATTTTACACGTAAGGTTTTACACAGATCAGCTTATTTTCTTACATTGCTGGTATAACTTACTCCCCTGTAAATTGACGCAGCAATTTTTATTCGCGTGATTGGCTTAAGATCATATTACATATTCTCCCTTGTATAACCCATTTGAATATTTAACATATTTAAATTTACCGATATTTTAAAGAAAACATGAACTATCTATGATTATAGAGCCCGCTTACAGCGATTTATTTGGTTTGTATAAGTGGATAAATGCTGATGGTACACGACTTATATTCAGCACGACTGGTATGTTACCTGACATGAAAGGAGGGTACAGTGTTGACCATCTGGTAGTGTGGGACATTCAAAACAGTTTGTATATTTTTTCACTTAATCAGTCGCACCAAAAAATCAAGTTTCATTAATAAGTCCGAAAGAAATTAACGTTTTTTTTTTGTTGTTTTTTTTGTTTTTGTTTTTTTTTAAGAATAATCTCAACGGAACTGTATTCATAGATCGTGTTCTTAAATTTGCACAGGTGACCAGAATTCAAATATCGGCTAAAAAATCCGAATCGCATGAAACACGTGTCAAAGAAGCGGAATCAATAAATAGCCACTTTTTTCTTCTTTGAAACCTCTTTTTGGTTACTTTTCTTTAAAAAAATTCTTTTTCAACCATTTTTTTCATCTTTGTTGCCACTTATTTCTTTTCTGCCACTTTTTCTTCTTCTTTGTAGCCTTTTTTTCCTGTCAATTTTTTCTTCCTTTTTGCCATTTTTCATTTATTTTCCCGCTAATGACCAAAGAAATTGTCCTTATTTATGTTCAGAAAAAGAGTTGTTTAGAATGTACGACAGTGTATATCAGATAAAATATATGGAACAAACTAAAATGGAGGCAACAACATCGGTGGACAGACTTTGTCAGCTTGACGATAAACGGCTGATCACATTGAATAGGGATAACATTCCTCGAGTATATCATTTGGACACAGGTAAAATGTAGATAATAAATACAATTATGATAATAATGATGATGATTTATGATGATAATAATGATTGCGGTTTAAAATGATAATAATTCTAGTAATGACAATGATGAAATAAAAATTATAATAATAATAGTGATAATCATAATAAAGATGATGATAATGATGGTGATGATGATAATAATGGTGATAATAATAATGTGATGATGATTATTATGATGATTACAATTATTATAATGATAAAGATGATGTTGAAGAAAGTAAAGACGAAGATAATGATAATGGTGGTGATGATGGTAATAATTATTTTTCTAAATCATGTTTAGCATCTTTATTTGCTTATATTTAACATGAGGTATATTTTAACATTCTTTTTTTTTTTTTTTTTTTGTTAGGAAAATTGCTGAATAGATTGGAGGGACATACTATGTCAGTCGGATTACATACTACGTCAGTCCGATTAGAAATACACGAAAAATCTCCATACATTCTCACATATGATGAAGCCTGCATTCGACTATGGGAAAAGACAACTTGTAAACAAGTTGCGACATTCTCGCCTGACCAGACAGTAAGCTTCTTACATAATTAAAAGATACTATATTTATTAAGTACATTATCAACAATATAGAATGTTAATAGATATATTTTTATTTGTAAAATTTTTTAGAGAAAAACAACACTTGTTCAGCAATAGCACATGAACATGTACACACATATTATTAATTGGCAAGATTAACCAGAGACTAAAGTCGGAACATGTACAATACATCTATTCAATACTTATGTGAAGATTAAAATATTTTCTATGGTATTTTTCCAATAATGCAAATATCTCGCCAACTAATACACAATCTTATAAAAGTGGAAAACATTTACAACAAACATTTGGATATTGCATGATTGAAAGTAGGAGAGATACAAGTATTTGAATGTACACTATATGACTTATTTTCGTATTTTTTAATTTATCCATATCACCCTAATTTACATTAATTTTGCTAGATTCGAACATCAAAACACTGTAAAACATTAAAATATCTCAAAGTTGCTGAAATTTCCGCTTTGTTGGCCATGTTCGGTTTCACTAAGTGGTTCCAAAGTGAAAGTAGGCCAAAATTCATATAACAACAAAGCTCACAATGTAAAATGATGACCTATTTGAAAGCACACTTCCAGGTCTATATTTTAAGGACTACTTTAGACAAAAATTGGACCCACGTAGTGAAAACAAACATGGCCGACAAAGCTGAATCATCCTAAGCAGCAACCACTGTAGCCTCGTTTTCGTATCAAGTTCTGAAAACAAGTGATCCCTCGGAAGCATTAATCACAACAAAATTTCAAGAGAATTGCAGACTCGGTTTGATTGAGTCTGTACATGAGGGATAATGAATACGTGCAACCTCCGTCACGCCCCCTTGCATCGGCTTGAGCGGTACTCAATTCTCAACACTTAATAGTGCTGGCATCAATGATCCCGAAGGACCAGAAGGCCTTGTATTCCGTACTTGTTTTAGCGAGTAGCATTTTTAGTGGTTACGTGACATGTCCAATGGTTACGCCACATCTCTAAATATAGAACGTCAACAGTGATTTTACTACATAATTTCACACACTTTCGGTCCCACAATGTCCAATAGGGGAAAATGTGGATCGTGTAAGAATTGTTTGTAATGAATGCTCATTTTTTCTATTACAGATAAACAATGTCCTTTGGAGTGGATGCGGACGTTTTTTCTACACGACGTCGGAAGACCCAGTCAAGATAGTAAGATGGAAAATACATAATGGATATAAAGAGATGTCAGATATCAGTTTTAATGAAGATTCACAATCTATATTCTCATCGGAAGGTAGGGAGAATATCAATGTATTCACCAGTATTCCGAGAATTATATCAATGTAATGTTTGTTTGTTGTTAGTTTTTTTTGTTTTGTTTTTGGGGGGGGGGATGTTTTGTATTGTTTTTGTTTTGGGGGCTTTGTTGTTTTTATTTGGTTTTCTTACATTAAACCAACAAAAGTCTAGGGGACCTTTTTCACGTTTTATCATCTGATCATCATATACGAACATAGGAAAAGTATAACCAGATATAAAGGAAATGATGTTTTTGTTTTTTGGCTTTAGATCTTCCATATCAAAATGTTTTGGAGACTTTTCTTTTAAAGTAGTCTAAAAATGCGTTGCAGGCTTTACAAAATGTATAAAAACAATCTATAGAATAGTATTATCACATAATTTGTGAAGGATTATAAGAGAAATAGAAAGTTATGTTGCTGTCTTTCAGCCGAATTTGAACCATTAGAGATAGATATACTGGAGGATGTCGAATTCCCTGTTGAAGAGGGAGACCCCGATGACGATGTTGAAGTACCGAGCGATGACGAAGACGATAAATGTTGTTAATTAAATGAACCAGTTCTTATTTTCACATTTCTACATCAACACAAATATGGACATATTGTCACCAAGCGATGGTATCAATGATAATGAATTATTGCAAAGTAAAATATATTTTATATTTATACAAATTGTCATCAAGCGATGTGGTCCATCTTCTTGGATAACGATAATTATCGTGACAGTGATTGAATGGCAGAAATTTATAGTTTTATATGACTTACAGAAATATGGTCAAATATCGTCATATTTGTGACGTCATTAGTCATCAATGAACAAGAAAAACATATATACATGTACCTCATTTGTGATAAAATTGTATATACTAATTGACTCCAACTTTTCAATAAATGATAAAAATTATATATGCTTATATGATTTTAACTATGTACGTTTAAAACGTCGAATTCATAAGTCTAATAAATTGTATCTTTTTTCGTTAAACACGATTGCTGAAATTAATTATTTATATTTTATACCATGCTTTTCGGTGGTTTATAGAAATATATCAGTGATATAAAACTGGTAATTTCACTGTTTGAAACAGTGAAATTACCACTTTGATAATTTCACTGTTTTGAATTTAAGCCCCTTACGTTGTTTCAGTGAAATATCAGCGTGCACAGTACTGGGTACCAACTTAATGACGTGACGTCGCAAATGACGTCACGTTGTATTATTATTTGGCGCGATTTTCATTCAGAATTAGGTTTAATGTCTTTTAAATCGTTTCTTTGCATGTAATAAAAAGAAAATTTGTTTAGTTTAGTGTAAGATTGAAATATATTTCACCTTGTGAACACCAAATATACCTTTTGGTGCTCACTCGGTGAAATACATTCCGATCTTACACTGAACTAAACAAATATCCTCTATGTAACCAAAGAAATCAATTGCGAAATTAGAAATACTATTTACGTCTTTTAACACTGCACTTGTGTGACGTCGCTTTTCATTGGATAATCGTAACGTTCATATATAAACTATACTACACGACTGCTGTAAATGTATGAAGTAATTTCAGTTTTTCCTCCAATAAAGTTATTATACTACATTATAAATGTGTTATATCAAAAAAGATGTGTGACAGGTTATATTGCCGTGTATAAGTGGTTTTTTTCCAATATAACCATCAGTTATATTTAAAAGATTACAACCGTTTATACCTGTCAGACAGCATTATAAGAAATAATTATAGGGCCGACAGCTCTCGTGAAGGGAGAAATTAACTGAAATGATAAATCATTGTATGTATCAAATACACATGATGAATGATCGTATGATATTTCTTTCTAGCAGAGATAGTAGATTTCACTGCAATGCGAGCATTTTTTCGCCAACCCCGCGCAGATATTGAGGGTAGAAAAAAAAATCTTTAAAAAAATACTTATTGATTGACAAAACGGCAGGGGAAAATGTTAATCATATTGAAAAAAAAATCAGGTCTCGGCATTTTGTCAAGGAATATGAATGGAATGAAAGCAGATAATAGTATAAAATGTAAAGAATTACAAAATTATTTTGATAAATTAATCTTAACGCTCCTTTAGACATTATTTGCATACAAGAAACAAAATTAATCAAACAACAGGTACCATTTAAATTGGAAGGCTATCAAAAGCCAGTCTATAGAACATCCGGATGGAGATGTTTGCATATATGTAAGACATGGTATTATTTTTAAAGAAAAGAAAATAGATTTCGCTAGTTACGTCGAATTTGTCGCTATAGAAGTTATAGGATAGAAAGAAAACTTTACTATCATAAATTAGTATGCACATAATTCTAAAATAAATTCATATGATTAACTTAAAAATATATGTGGAAACAACTTAAATAATACCATAATTGTAGGTGATTTTAATTTGTAACATTCATGCTGGAATCCGGAACATGACAATAGGAGGTATGTCGAGGCTGATGAAATAATAGAATTTTTAAATGACCATAATCTTAGCTATTTAAATGATGGTCAAGTAGCTAGAATAAGTAGTTGCGATGCCCATTTAGACTCCGCGATAGATCTTTCCATAGACTCATCTAATTTAAATATCTTATCAGAATTTTTAGTATTAGATGATACTTTGGGTAGTGATCATTTACCTACATTTACTCTAATAAGAACTGAAATTAGTACGGACAGTATTAAATTATTAGAGAGATGGTTAACTGAAAAAGCTACTGAGAATCAATAGACAGATTTTAGACATTAAGTAGGTAAGAATTAGATTACGAAATTAAAAATGGATATAGGAGTGAAATATTTCCATCATTCCTCGACAAACTTTACTCTATATTGGGCAAAACTATACCTAAATCTAAACAATGAGGAATGTACTCAAGCCATCAAAGAAAGAGAACGAAAAAGAAGAAATTATAAAGCGGTAAAAACACCACTTAAATATGAGCTATGGAAAATTGCGAGACAGGCGACAAAAGATATCATAAAAAAACTAAACGCGATGCGTGGGAACAATTCTGCAGTAAAATAACACATAAAACAAATTCCAAGGAACTATGGGAATTCGTACGAAAAATAAAAGAGAAAGAACAAACGTGCCTACCAGCTTTTCAAATACAATTTTACCGATCCAAAAGTAAAAGCTAACGCACTCGTGAAATTATATGAGAAAGCTAGCATCCTTAGGATTTTGTTTCGCGGAAAATAGAAGAAACGTGCCGAGCGAATTAATGACAGAAGCTGAACCTGAATTTGATTATATTATTTATAATAAAGAATTTACTTTATATGAGCTGAAAAGGGCCTTACAAAACTGCAAGTCAGGTGCTCCAGGGGAAGATAAAATTCTCTATGATATTATTAAAAACTTCCCCGATGAAACTAAATTAACTTTACTAAGTATATTTAATAAATCTTGGAAAGAAGGAACAACACCATCAAGTTGGAACGAAGCTATTATAATTCCGCTCGTTAAGCCGAGTAAATATAAAACCAGGTAGCATAATCCTCAGTAAAAAAGGGCTTGCACTACTTTAGGGCTCTGTAGAATATTAAACATAAATATTCACAGGCTGATGATATATTTGATACATCAGATAAACAAAATGCGTTTTTTTAGAATGTTTTCTTCATTTGCTATACGTTTTCTAATTAAACAATATGTTTAATATATTCAAGACAAGTGTTTGCTAAAGCTACCTTAACGAGTTTCACAAAAAAATATTATTTAAATCAATGTCAGAATATAGAATTGGTGAAATTAATAACACTTTCAATTATTCTTTTTGATTTTCGTAAAAACATTTTACTTAAAAATTATTAATTAAAAATGTAATAGCTTATTTTTCTCGCGAAAGTACAAAGTTAGGACCACTTTACAAACATTGGTATTAATATTTTAAAATGTGCTATTTTTACTGATATTAATGTATAAAAGCCTTATCTGAAGAAGGAAGGCTTTTTCATATTATAGAAGTGATTATCTTTTTAAATAACTGTAATCAATAAATCGATTGTTATCGTATATCGTATCTCGTAATATTCGAATCGAAATTTAATAAGATAGATTTCATTTCACTGTGCTGTGACAAGCAACCGAAAACGACATTTGCTCTGTCCTTTGTAAAAATGTAATTACATTTCGCCGGCGTGAATAGTATCAATACTATAGTATCAATGTTTTCTAGCTATTTATGGAAACTTTCTTTTACATTTAACAAAGTGTACAACTTTTGAAGAAATAGTGCTTTTCTACAATAAATCTTTAACCTTCAATTTTCTGAATGAAAATTTGATTTATATATAATTCAGAACTTTTTTCTATGATATTGTTTCGTTTCCTTCGATATTTTTGTATAAAGTGTAACTAAATTCCATTGCATACACGTATATTCAGACTTAAGAGACTTTTTTATTTACTGTAGTAGTATTTTTCAAACGAATTATCACCGTTGTGACTGCCAACAAAAATATTTCCCCCATAGTTAATGCTGACAAAACGATTTACCACGATAGTCACGAACCCTTCCTTTCAGAATGTGGTAAATTTCGACAGTCAAATACAATGTAGTCGTACTTTAATTGCCTATTTAACCTTACATGGTCAGTAATTCTGATAAGGTATGCTAACATTCTAGAACAATAAATAGAGTATAAATTCTGGAAGAGCGAGAATGAGCACGTAAATAAATAGGTTATAATTGCAGACTGTGGGAGTTGCAGGGAAGAGCAACATCTTTCAAGTCCACCACCAAGCACCGCATTAAGTAATTTTCATTTTTGAAGGAATGGCCTCGAGGGACCAGAAAAAAAAATAAATAAGAAGAATAACTACATAAACATGCAGCGTAACACTTCAGTTTCATTCATTGAAATATAGGCAAGTATAGAGTATCTGCTACAAGCATAATAATATGTGTGGTAATACTACTTCTAACAACCAGAAACTAGCTTTTTATTATTCTAATTTAATGGTCTAAGAGGAATCAAGATTATTGTGAAAAAGAAGACCGAAACTAGAATAACAAAACGAGAATGAAAGGCATTGTTCAATTTAATTAAATTTTCAACAAAAAATATAAAGGATGATTTAAAACATTGAAAATAATTATTCTCTTACATAAAGATCCTTAGGGTAATGCTACTTTGGAAAATATTATTTTGTTTTGACTCTTTAAAGCTAAAGACATAACTTGAATATTGAACGAAGCCAATTTTACTGCCTATTTTTCGGAGACTGAAATGCATCGGAAATTCTTTATGAGGAATTCACATGCAAACATGCGGTATGTTTGCGTGTAACAGTGCAGAAATTTATTTGGGACACTTGGCTGTGAAAACGTGCATAGCGAGAGTCATAAATATATGTGATATATGTAAAAAAAAATAAAGGAATTAAACTTTAAAAGTTACCAGCCTACGTAATTTTAGAATATTTTGAACATTGGCTAAATTTTGCTAATCAAGCATTTTCTCTAGAAATTATATTTACACATATATAAGTAGCCTTGTGAGGGAACAACTATGATACGGTCAGTAGCCGATACTGTGCTTTTCATTTCATCTCTTGAACATAATCAAACAGTATTTGACGATTGTACGCTTCGGATTAATCGTTAATTTTTTGCAATTTAAATTTCATTGTTGAGTAACGTTTGGAAACTATTACAGGACACAAAAAAAGCTTTTGATAAATAAAAAATAATAAGCATGTATAGGCATAATGGGCATTTAAGATCATATTGCGACTCTCCGGGTTCAGTTTTGGCGCAAGTATACTTAGGTACCGCTTTCCCTATATATTTCAGGTACGACCGGGCTTGATTTGTTCCTCACTGAAAATATCCCGCCGACATTCGAACACACAGCATCATTCAGATATAAAGAAAATTTTCAATATCTGGAAGCTTATTGTGATAAATATGCGCCAAAACCACTTACAAAATTGGGGAAAAACATGTGTCAGGTCTCGTAATCTTCGGTGTAGTTACTGATCAAGTCAGTTAGGAAGAAAATATTGAACGGGTGTTCTGGTTCAAATATTCACGTTCTGAACGACAAATATTAAATTTATATGTTCTTGTGTATAGTTTTATTTTGTAATTGATCACGGCAGTCACGAAATAGATGCTATCAAGGAGGTCCGGTATAAACTTTATATACAACATAATGCATACAGTAAAGAATATTTTGTATTTTAGATGGTCTCTTATAGTTTTATTTTGTAGCTGCTCAAGGCATTAACGAATAAAATGTAATTTAAGCGGTCTAGTATAATCTTTATTGTTAAAAAAGATCAAGATAATTTAGAATATTTTCTACTTGATCAAAGTGATAAGGAATGAAGGATATGTTTGTGGTCAGATATAAAATTTAATGTTGTTGCTGATCAAGGCAATAAAGAAAATTTAGTTCTTTAGGCGATCTAAGTAAATTTTAATGTTGCTATGATCTAGACAATTACAAATTTGAAACGGTTTCCTCTTATCAAAAACAAAATCTGAATTGATGATTTCAGATGAATTACTTTAGGTGATTTGAAATAAACTTTAATGATGTTACTGATCAAGACAATTAATAATATTAATTACCTCAGGTGGTGTGATATAAATGTCAAGGCTGTACCAGCTCAATTATAAGAAATAAAAAAAAAATTTAGGTGTTATTGTACATTGGTATTTACTATAATCTAAATTCAAAGCAGGACAAAGCCTGTACACAAATACAGCTTTGGATGATATTACGACCTAATTGTAAAACAACGAACGCTTTCGTAAATGATTTGCCATTTCAAAAGAATATTACAAGAATAAGTCGTAAATTGTAGTTGTCTATAATCCAACAATTTCAAGCACAGTGGAAATGGGAAGGTCTACTCCAAGTACATGAGGTACAGAAAATGTTAATGCTCTAAGAGTCAACAACAAAACACTGTCTTCTGATGACACGCACGTGTTCGAAGATGACCTCAATGAGTCTGCGTTGCATTTAAGGAGATGCTCAACAGTGCTGAAAATACAAATATATACATTGTATTGATGTATTCATGGAGGAATGAACGAAAAACGAACGATTGATCTACCAAATTTAAGAAATTAAACTTTTGTAAACTTAAGTGTAAATTGCTAAAGGTAATGATCTAACAATTATAAATAAAATATATGACTACATAAAAATGTAAAGTATTACTATGAATATTTATATATGTTACCATAAATAGTTACAAAATTGCCCAAAAAAGTTTCTTCTGATTCACTTTGAACCATTATTCATTTTTTGCGGGCGGATTTCTACCTTCAAATTCCGCTCTGATCTTTCTTAACCTCAAGATAAAATAGCTTTGGGCTTATTTAAACAAAGTTTAGATATTATAGCAACAAGCTATTTACGTTTCCATTTTTTTTACACCATCTACAATGTCAACACTATATCCGATATTTTGAGTTTCATCCTCGCACCTCTCTGTAATGTCAAAAGCTTGACTTACGCAGTTCGTGTCGTATCTAAATGATGCTGGAAGTCCTGGAAAATAATGTTTACATTCATTTGATATAAGAATATTGCTATAATTACTTTGGACGATTAAATAAAGAATAAAAAGATATTATGTATTAACAAGCATGCTCAATCTTTCTGTTTGTATGATTTAAAATGAAAGTCTTGTTTGAAGATTTCCAGTTAACGGATGCATGATACTGATTTTTATAAGTGTTCAGTAAATAAATACATAAAAAAGACAGATAGCGTAAAGAAATAAGAATAAATTCCATTTTTTAAATAAAGATATCAGATCAGAAAATAAAATTATTTATATATCAATAGACCAAACGATCACATAAACATGTACAAATGTAAGAGCTATAAGACGCATAATCAAGGAGACTGCGAGGATTACAATTATCCCTCCATAATCATAATCTGCTAATAATATTTAGTCCAACCTTGAAATAAAGTTCAAGATATAGCATCACAAATTACAATATCATTAGAAACATTTATTACCTCTTCATTGCTATATTTGTAAAAAACAGACGATCCAAAAAAACAAGAATAGAGATCAACAAGGTAAAGGCAACGTTCACAGGACGTAGCCCCCCGACACACCAAAGTAGGGCACCCAGAAGACACTCAACAAAAACCTGAATATACTATTAATATAATTAATTTGATTGAAACAAAAAATAATCTGAAATTTGTCATAAATTATCCAAATTACCAGCTAATTCACGACAATGACGTAATTTTGATGCATAATTTCAAATGCAAACATTGCTATTCCATAATAAAGGAGAGGGTATGTAAATCTTTTATATACTACTTACTCTGTTGATACTCTTCGTTAAGATGCCCATTTTTGCATGCTCCGCCTGTTTTACTAACCAACATTGATATTTCAGCTCTGTTGTTACATCTCAATGCTTTACCACTTGTACAGGAAGATGCCGCATCCAAAATACTTTGAAAATAAAACAATTGTACAAATTATGCAAATGAGGTATTGTATATTGTTCTGTCATCGAAATGTACCCTTATCATTCTAAAAGTGTTTTTATCATAACAGTCTATATGAAGAATGAACTTTCCTACTTCAGATATATAATTCAATATTTTACTAAGAAATAAGTATATTTGACAGGGTATGCTTGCCTTTTTTCCTCCTTAAAATATAAAGCTTGGCTTTTAATCCTGAGCTTGTAAAATGTTCAGAAACAAACCCTTTGCAAGATCTAATTTCATGATCAATTTAAGCACTTGATTATTAAAATGCAGAACAAAATCAAAACTTCTAATGATATGATGGCTCTATGTATTCTGACAAACTAAATAAATGTAATTGGCTTTTTAAATTCATTAACAACGTTATAAATATTTGCATATTTATATATGCTATTAAACTGGAATATTCTTAAATAACCTCATAATATAACTGGAAAAATATTACCTGCACCAGTAATTAAGAAGTTCTACAAGATCCTGTCTATATATCACCTCTTTGTCAAACAACATTGTATTTCGGCTGGAAGTGTTATACATAGAGAAAATAGCACAGCTGTGATAGGCTTTGTAGATATCCTTATACGAGTCGCAGTATTTAATCGTGTTCCGACAATCAACATAGAAGCTGATCAAAGATATAGCTGAAAATGCAATTCAAAATTTCTGGCATTTGGGTTAAATGTATCCTTGAACTATTTTGTATACTTTACCAATTTTATATTCGTACAGTTTTGTACTTAAAGATTCTGTATGTTGTAATTAAGGTTGTTACCACACTTAAGTTAAGTCTATATATGTATATAATTGTGCTTCTATAACAATTTTCAAACATCGAAGAATATGTAAAATACGTACTGGGAATATTTGTCTACATTATATGTAATCATTGAAATATATGCATTCTTTTCTTATTGAAAAAATTTGACTTAGATTTTATAGAAAATAAATTTAAACTAAATTAAACTTCCTCCCTTTAGACATGTAGACATGTAAATTCGGTACGATGCTTTTTGGAACGTATGTACAATATTGGTAAATCTTCATTTGAGAATCATATTTACGATGCAAAACTTTGAAAAATATAATTTACAGAATCTTAAAGATTTTTTTTAAATTTCAACCAAACTGATCTTGCCACTAGGAAAAATAAAATGCATGCAGAGTATGAAATGCAAACTAGAAAAATATCCTTTTCAGATTATTTTTGTATGTTGAGGGAAGTTTAATTGTAACGTTATTTCTAATATCGTTATAATTTTTAATATTTTTGTTTCCATCCTGACAATATTGCCACTTCTTGTGAGTAGCTAATTATATCAACCGATTGAGACCATATTCGTTTAAATATCATGAATGATTTGTTCAAATCTTCTTGAAATGAGTACTAAACTAACATATTCCTAACAATAAGAAACTCGTTTTACATGCACACATTTATTATATTTAATGATTAATGTAAAATTCAAATTAAGTACAGTATAGTTATTTTCTTACCTGTTAAAGTAAAGACAAAAGTAACTTTGTGATCCATTTTTTCTGGCAATACTATCAAAATGGTCGTGTAATATTCCTGCTTCAAACTTTGTTTTATCTATGGCAGCAATTAGGAACACGTGACTATATATCAATTAACTAAATGGTGCCGATTGGAAATGTCAAGTAAGGAATTAATGACATAATTTTATTGCTAGCGAAACGTGAAATAAGCAATTATACCGTTGTTATGGTATAAGGGAATAGTTGAATGAAATTTCATGAAATAGTTGTATGAAAATACCAAAATACCAGCAGAGAAATAAAGCATATAACAAACATTAAATACATGTAATTCTAAATCGACATAAATGGGCAAAATGCATCAAGTGTAACCGCCAATTAAAGGGGTAATGATGCCAGTTATGAAATTTGCAAATAGCACCAATAGTAAAGGGACAAAACTTAAGTGATAAATATTTAGTCATTAGTCCAACAGTTGCCTCCCTGACAAAATGTATATCAGCGTGAAGAGAATCACTGTCTTTAACTGAAATATGTGGGCACTGTTTTACTTCCCTGAAATTGCAATTGATGTCAAGGGCTCAGAAAAGTTAAATGGGTAGTAATACTGATTTACTGAAATAAAGTGGACAAAAGGTACTTTATCTGGAAAGAAATTGTTAAAGGTCACACAAGCAAAATGGAACTAGCTGTCCAAATAATTTAAGTTTTCAAGGGTGTTCTTCCCTAAACATTGCAACTGACAGTACAGGAAAAACAAGTATTAGTATTTCCAAAAATTCTATGAATCGCCGTTTAGCCGGGTGTTTGAAAAAAAAATGAATGATTGTCAAATAGACACAAGAGCAAATGTTTCTTCTTTTCAGAAAAAAAATACTTCGAATACTGTTTACTCCGCAGGCGCCTACACACTGGTTTCGAGCTTGGTAGATGTAGATAGTATATCAATTCTTTATATAAACCCTGCAAAAAACATAGTGGATGGCATGCCCTATAGGCGTCCCTTTTTAGTTTTTTTGTCGTTCATTTTATTATCATGTGGCATTATATTAAAGTCTCCATTCTGATTGGCTTAAGTTTATGCAGTGTACGGGTAGAACTTCGACGACAGTTAAGACAAACTGATCAAATAAAAATGTGGTCAAGAATGATCCCCTTTATAATATTAAATAAATTATAAGTCGCATCGAAAGTCAATGAGTAATAACTGTTACAATAAAAAAAATCCTAGAGAAACCTCCCTTGAAAATTCCAACGGCTTCATAGAGCAAGAAACACGATCAGGTAAAATTAAATTCAGCCAACAATTTGACCTTTCCTTATACCAGCAAGTGTGTGTCATATTAAAAAGCGGGAAATCTTAAAATAACATGGAGGCGATAACCATCCCTAATCAATGCAAACGGTGTTGTGGAGCAAATTGAGGTAACTATTAAAAGAAAGGAATAGCTCTGGTAAGATGACGTTAAGTGAACAAAATATATAATAATTAGAATTGCAAATGGCGTCTTGTAGCAAATGAAGTATTTTTAAAAGAAAAAAAAGAGAAATAAAAGAAATTATGCAAGAATAGAAATTTGGAAATATTTTAGAAGTAAAGTATTTAAAAAAAAAGCTAGCTATCATCATATTCGGTGTCGAGATCTAGACCTGTGGAATTGCCTAGCCTATTTATTTAATTCGTCCCCTTGTGGCTAAGGGGTTGCCTTTAATGTTTGAGGCATCAGACTTGCAGTGACCGTTTATCTCTGTGTGACGTAAGAGGCGACTTAATGAGAGTTAATAACTGAATTCAATGCTAAAGCAAATACAACATCTAACTATTTTATGCTAAAGCAAATACAACATCTAACTATTTTTATAGTAACAAAAGTCCATGTTAAATTTGACAATATTAGTGATTTAATATGAAAACAGTGCGATGCTTTTATGCATTTATATTTTCTATAAAATTAATGAATTAATTCACATTAACGTTAATTTCCCCTCACTAAGTTTGTAATACTAAATTTGCATAGGCCAGTGAGAGTTTTTCTTATCATTAATTCAAATGTACTATGACTAAAAAAATATATTGAAAAATAAAAACCTAAAGAAACCATGTCCTAATGAAGATGAAATATTTGTTCGGTGTCATAAAATGAAAGACACATAAGTTTGTAACAGCAAAAATATCATCCCTCGAAAATACTGTTGCCCGGGGTAATATTTTACTGTTACTCACAAACCTTTGTGTGACTTATATAATAAAGCTCCTCTTTTCGTAGAAATAGTCGAATTATTATGATCACATTTTATCGAAACTTTGAATACTTTCTTAACTTGACAAGGCGTAGTTGTCCCGAAAGCAATATCTTATTAGGAGTTGCACAACCTTTTATTTAGAATGCCTTACGTTATAGAGTGAATATTTACACAACAGGGATGAAAAAAAATCCACAATTTACTGATTACTACAGGTAGGTCATAAACTTGTTAAGTATATTTAATTTATCAAATAAGGACAATTTCCCCATTTTATGATATGTTGTCGTCTTGTCTTCCTGTCTTTAGCAAAGCAAACCATTCTGCGCGTTGTCGTGCGGCGCGTTATCGCGATGCCGCCCTGTCGCTTGGCTTATAAGCCAATCCTTCGATTTGAGACGAGCATCAATGTGACATCGCGACAACACGCCGCACGACAACGCGCCTTTTGATTTGCGTAGTTAGCGACAGGACGACAAGACGCTTTGTCGTGCTGTCGGTGTGCTGTCGGTTCTACCAAGATACGAGTAAACTCATAAGGTGTAAGGGAGATAATTGCAAATTCACAAGTCTTTCGTGATCGTACGGGTTGTCTTTCTTGTATAGTGCATTAATTAATATATAGCCCGTTATGTCACAAATTTCAGTAAGTGAGAGGTAAGGAATAATTTTCATATTGACAATTATTATTATTGTACTATTTTAAAAACAAAAGGATTTAATAGTGATTGGTTTCTTTGATATTTATTATATTAATTGATGTTTATATCATATTCTAGCCTTTGCATTGTAACAATTTGTTTGTTCGTTTTTAACGTAACGTTTCAACTCGCTTTGCGGATATCAACTAGTTCCTTTGATGAATCATAATGTACGTGACTTGTAATGATTTATTTTGACCTTTATTGAACCATTTTCTACTGAGATCCAAAAGCCTAAAACATATATATTTTACATAGATCAACTGGGGCACTTGTAACAGAAAGATCAGAAATAATTTGACTGAGAAAAGTTAAAACGCTTTTCAATTTTGGTATTTTTTTCACTTTTAAAATAATTATTCTGGAGTTACGCTCACGAGTATTTAAATAGGTCTAGACCTACATCAAATTGTACATTAATTTCGAACAGTTAATTCTAGTTTCGTCATGTCAATAAACCTCAACAGAATCCCTTTAGTATTTGAGAAAAAAGGAAGAATAAAAAAAGAAAACAACACTAAATCGACCCACATTGATCAGGTTAAAAGCACACTTGTGAAAAACCTTATCTATGGAAAATTCTGTTCATCGATTTCTGTTTCCGTATGTAATATTGTGGCTTTATAAAAGCGTTGAGGACAATTTAAAAAAGTTGTTGAACTTCAGATGATGGCATTTTACCGGAAAAGAATAATGTAATGTTTGGTACTTTGTATGGAAAATAGTCCACAATAGTCCAATGACACTTATATTAAGTCATAATATTAACAACTAACAAAGTGTATCTTCACTATTTAATTTACTAATCCAGTATGCGCTGGAGAATACAAACTACAGAGAATCATGGGACGTATATATAGACTTGCTTAATGAATTCAGAGACATAGATATGTTATCTACATGTATGTCTCTGATGAATTATATGAATTATAAGAACATAATTCTACAGTATCCATCTAAAAAAAGACGGTATATTAAGTAACTGTATCTAGATACCTGATTGACAATAACTGCAATAACTGACACATGAGTTTGTACAGAGGAACTGATAAACTAATTTGTAAATTATCGTTTTAGAAATTTAAACCTTTTAGAAATTATAAAAAAAAAATGTTTTAATTGTTAATAACATCTTCATAGCAGGAAATATTGCCCGCATCAAAGTTGGGAAAGTAGATTGATGCCTTTGTTTACAGCCTTTAGCTCGGTTGTAATGACACATGTTAACATAAATGTCCTCAGCTGCAAGGTGTTTTTGTATTTAACCATATTTATAACCCTGTCATAGTTAGCCTGATGGTGGCAACAGATTCCGACCATGCATACGTCCATTGCAGTCCAAAGTTTAGTCGGTACATCCATACTATCTGATCACGGTCTGCACTGTCTCAATCAATATAAAGGTTGGGATGAACAGAGACATTTAAATACATTTATATGTCTCTTTGACTTGAAACTGGGACTTATATACGTCATTTCAAATCCCAGTTTGAAAGATTTTATGCATATTTAATATAGACTACTGTAATCAGTGCTGCGTTGTAAATCAAATGTGACTTCATATTGTATGTTGTGCTTTGGAATTTTTGTTATATATACGTATAGTTTTATACTTAGAATGTATCCTATATCATGCCAGCAGTAATTCGAAAGTGTAGCCGGGTAATTTAGTGGTGCAAAACCTTATAACGAAACGGCATGTACGGATTTTAATATGTTCCAAAAGCGCGGGAAAATTTGATAGCTCAATAATAATGGTAAATTGCAAATACTGATATATTATATCAGTATTTATATTTTTGTTAGATATGACTGCATCTTCTGTATGAGTAGGAAGTATGATAGTCAAAAATTAGTAATAATTAATTTAGGTTCGAAGATGAAACTTATAGAAACAAAATATCGGAACTGTAGTAGTCCTCGGACAGTTGTGAATCGAAAATGCAGCATAGTAGATTGAATAATTTTGGCATCAACCTGTTCAGTCGATTTGTTAATATAGGAGTGATGTATTTGCCGAAAGAAATATATGTATTTTATTTAATTTAAGAAATTAAAAAAGGCTTTGTTCAGACTTCCAGAAACACAGGCGCTAGTCACATAATCAAATATTTTACATAACCAGTCTATATATGTTTATTATGTATATAAAGATAAAGGCCCCCAACGAAACAAAAACATCATGTGGAACAAGCAAGAACACTGCTGCAAGAAACGACCAGATCACGGTTATCTCTTTCTGGTTGCCATCTGAAAGCATCAATCCAAGTGCCAACGCTTTTTATTTCATTAAAATCCCTCAAATAGCAAAGAAATTGGGAAAAGTTTCGCAAAATGCCATTATTTTTAATTCATGTCGTTTTCGACGTCCATACCATTCATGTATACAAACACGATTTCTGGTAGATTTTTACAAAATAAACAAAAAACGGCTAGAATTTCCACCTACGTTCCATAAACAAACTCTTTTTCTATCGATCTGCCAAGTCTTAACTGTTTAAAAGCCCTCTTCATACGTAATTCATTACAGGGCTGAAAATTAGCGGTCGCCCAAGGCGACTTAATTTGTAATTGGACCACCAAAAATTTCAAAATAGTCGTCCAGTCGGCGACTAAAAAAATCGGCCGTAGATTAAATTAATATCCGCCATTAAATCAACTCACATGAAAATTCAAAGGAGCAAATTGGCTCCAAATTTATTAAATTGGCTCAAGAAAATCACGATTGGCTCAAACTTACAAAAATTATGACTTTTGGAATCTCCAGTCTATATTTAGAATTTGCTATTTTAAGAATGGAAAAGTACACATTTGGTTTTCCATTTTTAATTTCCGCTTTATCACTTCTTATCTCAAAACACAGCGACACAGTCTACTTCTTTTGGGTCATTGACTGGTTTATATTTTTAACTTCCTTTCCGAATTAAATATCGATATGAACAGTAACACAGTTTAATGCACTGGCCTCGCCGTTTGTTTACATCAGCTGATAAATATTGCCGTGAACATACCAGGCAGATTGTTGAATATGCATTGGAAAATTTGGTCTTAATATTTAATATGAAACAATAACTAGCGGCATCCCAACATTATTCAATAATATCTCTAATCAAATCAGAAGTTTGGGTATGAGTAGCGACAAATTATGTTCTGCAGTTGACTTGACCTGTTGACGGTAAGTTTGCATTCAGTAAATCTTATCATTGTTGATAAATTATTAGTTAAGAGTAATGGTTGGTTTTTTTTTTTTTCATTTTTATATTTTTGGGGGGATAGTGGGTGGGGGGTGAGTGCCAATTTTTGCCTTTACTAGGAATTTATTTGATATTGGCTTTACAGAGAATTCCTGGACCTTGATTTGGCTTAAAATCAAATTTAAGTTTTGTAACCCCTAAAGCTCTTGCAGAAGTATTCATTTATAAATGGCTTATGACTGTGAATTACTAATGAAAGATTCAGTTAAGAAGCATACAAAATGCCTTCAGGTAACTTATACTGATTCCTGTACACTTATAATGACAGTAGTACGTGTGATTTTATTCCTGAATTATCTTTAGTTAAGAATTTTCAATATTATTTTCTCCGATTTTCTTACTTTCAAACTTGTTTCTTCTGTATTATTTCAGAAAAAGATAGTCTTCAAGCCAAATCTTTGTCATTAACCAAGCAAGCTGAAGCAGCACATTGAATTGTGTTTCTGCTGTTACTGGCATGCCACTGCCTTAACCTGGCAAATGTTATAGCTACTGAGCTGGAAGCTTTTATGATTATTGATAGTAAATTACATGTATACAAATTTGATGTGTTAATGTGATAAAAATGTAGGTACCAAAATAAAAGTGGACAATATCGTTTGTTTTTCTAAATACCTCATGCTGTACCATTTTGCCTTATTTGAAAATAAAATACATGCACGCAATTTTCACTGCTAAAAAAATGGCTAAAATAATTTGCCAGTGCTAGCCCCGTTTCAGTTCATAAATTGTTGGTCCACTTAAATATTTACTAGGCCACCAAAATTTTACAGTCAGTGGCCCAGGTGGCCACCAAGCTTGAATGGTTAGTTTTTATCCCTGCATTAAAAAAATACACAAGGATCCCGCTTGTGACAGTATTTTATCGCCATGTATAGCGCATGTATATACTTTTCCGCTCTGAATATTATATAAGGATTTGATTGGTTAAGATAATTATCGGAATACTATTGACCAATCGTATAATACTATTTCTTTGCTTCATTTAACTGTCACTTCAAAATCAAAATTGCGCACTTTACTTGACCTCCGCTTCTACAACCAATTTTTTTAAATATTTGCGTACAAAGAGGGCTCTAGTTCAATTTAGACTTCGCAGATTGATAGAAAAAGAGTTTGTTTATGAAATTTATGAGGAAATTTTAGACATTTTCTATTTATTTCGTAGAAATCGACCAGAAATCGTGTTTGTATACATGAATAGATTTGACGTCGAAAACGGCATGGATTGAAAATATTGGCATTTTGTGAAACTTTTACTCATTTCTTTGCTATTTTAAGAATTTAATGAAATAAAAAGCGTTAACGCTTTGATTGATCCTTTTGAATGTCGACCAGAAAGAGATAACTGTGATCTGGTCGTTCCTTGCAGCAGTGTTCTCGTTTGTTCCACATGATGTTTTTGTTTTGTTGAGGGCCTTATATCTTTATATACATATATAGACCAGTTATGTAAAATATTTGATTATGTGACTAGCCCCTGTGTCCCGAAAGTTGAAAAGAACTGTCAGACATTCGGTCTGACAAACCATGAAAATCTGTCGGACCGAAACGAAATCTGTCAGACCAAATAGAATTGATCAAAATCAAAGAATAACTTGTGTTTGTATTTCTAAGACACTTTTTGTTTTTAATTTTTTCGCCGTAAAAATCGGCACATTCCTTACAGCGCATTTTCATCTCCTCCCTATCATACACCAACGATTCACTTTCTTGCTTCTATTTTTCATTAAATTTTGTCTCAGGTCTATTCTTTTTATCCTTTTACTGCTGTTCTGCCTGTTCCTCTGATGTAGATTTTTTATCTTTCCAAGGTTTGGCACCTTTAGCGACGCCATTTTGTATACATGCGGCTTGGATAAAAGTCGGACTGATCTGGAATAAAAACTCGTCGGACCTGATCAAAATTTATCGGACATGTCTGTCGGACCGACGTATTTCGGGAAGTCTGTTTGTTTAAACTATTTATACTACTGGAATAAATGGTCTTCAGTATGCACAGTTTGATAAGTGCAGGAGAAGCAATCACCATCAACCTTTTCAGACTGTCTCTCTCTCTCTCTATTTTATGTATATAGACTTCTCTCTCTCTATTTTATGTATAATATTGATTCATAAGAAATTCTGAGCATTGTACATGTAATGATGTATACTCCTGTAAGACTTATTGTACTCGCAGACACTTTTGTTGTGGAGCTCCAATGCAAAAATGCAATTGATTTGGATTTTAAAGACATTTTGAGCTCCACACCCCAAGTGTCTGTGATTGTACTATGAATTGACACATTTTCATCATTTCACTGATTTCTGTTGAGAAAATCTGCATCAACCTTTTCAGCAGTTTTCAGTAAGTAACATCACTTTGACGGGCAAAGTAGAGAATTGAAAATACATGTATATATGTTTTAAGTCATTTAAATGTAAAAGTAATGCTCACGTTAGACTGTTTAAATAAGATATACTGAATTTTCTTACATAACTTAATCATTAATCTGATTCTTTGGTGAAATATCCGCATCAACCTAGTCTTTGTATGTAAATTATGTATTTCAATAATGTTGTGTCGTGTTACACACATATTTTTCTAGAAGTTTTGCAATGATTGCACATGACAGTTTTTTTAGTTCACAAATTTTAGAGCATGATATTATTGATCTTGATGTTTTGCATGTTATAAAGAAGGTAGTACAGTAACTGTATCTTATTTGCTATGTTTCTTTGTACTTCAGTCTAAACGTAAAGGTCTAAGTGTTGAAGAGAAGAGGCGTAGAATGATGGAGTTCTTCTTTGAGAAGGTACGATATAATTTGACAGATTTAAGTGCATGTATATGTTGCAGAATTCTGTAATGCGGCGGTGCTAGAGGACAATAAACCTGTAGAAGTTTCGTGTATCTAATTTCTTCTCTTGTAACCTGAGAACTCCCTTTGATACTAAATGTTTAACAGTAACATTTCACTTACATTAATTAAAACCAAAACAAAAATAAACTAACAAAAATAAAAATAATAATAATAATAAGTAATTCAGGGTTGGCAAAATCTGATTTTGACCTACCTGTCCATTTTATCTGAAGCATTCTTTACTTGTCTCTATGATATTCCGGTTGTAAATTCTGGAAAAATTTCACTAGTCTGACAGTACAGCCTGCAGGACAATCCATCTAGTATTGACCATTGATTTTGCCATCCCTGCTCATTACTGCATATTGTGGGGTAAATGTTAAAACCCAAACCCAAAAATAAATAGAATTGAACAGAAATTCAAAGGGAGCATTCATCTGGATAATTTAGCGTTTGAACTCTGCTTGGGTCATGATAATGTTTCTTTTACATGTATATGACACATAACCTGCACTGGTTAGTTACAGAAAGTGAGCTTAAAGTTGTTCTAATAAGCTGAAAGTGTTCAACCCATTGAGCTTAAATGAATGTCTTAACAAACTTAACTATATAAAATTTAAAATTCTATTTTACATTGCTTATATATCTCTATCTTCTTTCAGAAAGATTTCTTCCAGCTGAAGGAGTTGGAACGACAGTGTCAGAAAGAGAAAGGGATTACGTCCATGTCAGTAAAGGAGATTCTCACTAGTCTTGTTGATGACGGTATGGTAGACACAGACAAGATTGGTACTTCTGTATACTTTTGGGCATTCCCCAGCAAAGCTAGTCAAAACGTTAGTACAAACTTTTCTGCTCCAGAATTAAATTTTTAATTTTGAAATGTTGTGGAAGTGGAGGTAAATGGTTGAAACAGAAAAACCAAATCCCTAAAGGATGCCAAAAATGGCAATACCTTAAATGTTGCAGGCTCAATTTGGTTGAGCCTGAAGTCTGAAATTTAGATTTTAGGATATTAAGAATATACTTTTTGACATACTTTGCCTTATTGTAAATGGATCTTGGTAAAAGGTTGAAGAATCATTTATATCTATGTAATGTTCATGGTTTACTTATATCTTGTTTTATAACATCAGGGACTTCGAATTCTTTCATGTCTAAAAGCTATTTAGCATGTTTACAGAATGCCAGTGATTCTACTTTGGTGCCCACTTGTGCCTAAAATAATGCACAGAGGGAAACCCAAGGCTGTATTCCACCAGTAGAGCTTGAAAGTCTCCATATGACCATTACAGAGTCAGTGTTTCTTAAAACCAATCAAGAAAAAAAGAGTTTTTTAATTTATTTATGAATGTTGTGGTTGAAATAACTGAGATATTTTTATAAATGTTTATTATATTAACATAATTATTATGTTTCATTTTTAGCGAAAAAGGAAAATAGATGACTTGGAAGCTAGACTGGCAGATGCTGAAAGTAAAAAACTTAACTTAATGGATGCAGTAGAAAAGGCTAAAGTGGGTAAAGAAGAGTCTGTAAGTAACCATGATTTAAAACAAATTGTGAAGAATGAACACTTGTCAGTATTTTATCAGTAATGCACATTTTTCAGCATATCAAACCAAAGCAAAGTGAACTTTAGCCGACTGATAATCTCTTAAGGGAGATTACTTGGTCAGTTTATGGATGTAGATTCTAGAGTAGAATGCTGAGTTTGATACTTGTTCTGCAAAGGCTTGGTTTAATACAATTTTACATAATTGTTATGCCACATCTGTTTAAAATAGTGTATCCTGGAATGTTTTAAGGTAATTAAGCATACATAATAGGTTATTAATGGTACAGGGTCTATAGTAACAATCTACAACACTTACATTGTATCCTCTAACTGGTATATGGCTGAAAGACTGTTTAAACTCTTAGCCTGCAAAAAATTCTACCCATGCAGCCAGTGCAGACCAAGATCAGCCAATATCCACTTGCCATCTTATCAAGGTCTGCTCTGTTCTCTCTTCAGTCATTAGTTAGAAATTTCCCTATAAATGATGAATGACCTTGCCCAAGTTGAAAGATTGACCTTTTTTTTTTAATATTTAGAGTGGAAAGGGTTAGGCAGAACAAATATGATGAGTGCACCTTTTTATTCCCCCGCCATGTAATGGCCGGGGCATATTATTAAGTGTTACCCTGTTCCGTCATTCCGTCCTTCCGTCATTCTGTCATTCCGTCATCATCAGTTTCCGTTCATTATCTAAAGAACGGTTGCACACATTCAACTCAAATTTGACATATGGATATGTCATGAGAAAATACAGGTCAAGTTCGAATTTGGTCATGGTTCAATGATTTTTGGCAGGGTTATGCCCCTTTTACTTTGAAAATAATATGAAATTTCAGTTTCCGTTCATTATCTCCCCAACGGTACAATGCATTCAACTCAAACTTTACATATGGATATGTCATGAGAAAATACAGGTCAAGTTTGAATTTGGTCATGGTTCGATGATTTTTGGCAGAGTTATGCCCCTTTTACTTTGAAAATAATATGAAATTATCAGTTTCCGTTTATTATCTCCCCAACGGTACAACACATTCAACTCAAACTTGACATATGGATATGTCATGAGAAAATACAGGTCAAGTTCGAATTTGGTCATGGTTCGATGATTTTTGGCATAGTTATGCCCCTTTTACTTGGAAAATAATATGAAATTTTCAGTTTCCTTCATTATCTCCCTAACAGTATTACACATTCAACTCAAACTTGACATATGGATATGTCATGAGAAAATACAGGTCAAGTTTGAATTTGGTCATGGTTCGCTTATTTTTGGCATAGTTATGCCCCTTTTACTTTGAAAATAATATGAAATTTTCAGTTTCCGTTCATTATCTCCCCAAAGGTACAACACATTCAACTCAAACTTGACATATGGATATGTCATGAGAAAATACAGGTCAAGTTTGAATTTGGTCATGGTTCGATGATTTTTGGCAGAGTTATGCCCCTTTTACTTTAAAAAACAATATGAAATTTTCAGTTTCCGTTCATTATCTCCCCAAAGGTACAACACATTCAACTCAAACTTGACATATGGATATGTCATGAGAAAATACAGGTCAAGTTCAAATTTGGTCATGGTTCAATGATTTTTGGCAGAGTTATGCCCCTTTCACTTTGAAAGTAATATGAAATTTTCAGTTTCCGTTCATTATCTCCCCAAAGGTACAACACATTCAACTTAAATTTGACATATGGATGCGTCAAAGGAATGCGCAGGTCAAGTTCAAATTTAGTCATGGTTTAATGATTTTTGGCAGAGTTATGCCCCTTTCACTTTGAAAGTAATATGAAATTTTCAGTTTCCGTTTATTATCTCCCCAATGGTACAACACATTCATCTCAAATTTGACATATGGATATGTTTTTGGAATGCCCAGGCCAAGTTCAAATTTGGCCATGGTTCAATGATTTTTGGCAGAGTAATGCCCCTTTCACTTTGAAAATAATATGAAATTTACAGTTTCTGTTCATTATCTACCCAACAGTGTTACATATTCAACTTTAATTTGACATATGGATATGTCAAAAGAAAGGGCAGGTCAAGTTGGAATTTGGTCATGGTTTGATGATTTTTTGGCAGAGTTTATGTCCCTTTCACTTTGAAAATAATATAGATACATCTTAGGAATAAGCAGTTTAAGTTTGAATTTGGTCGTGGTTCATTGATTTTAGACAAACTTATCTTTCCTAAATGTTGGAAAAATTTTGAACTTTCAGTTTCAGCACTCGTACTTTTAGCCATTATTTTGGCTACAAATATGCAATATGCTATTTTTAAAAGGTTAAGACTGAATAATTTCAGTGCCTTGAACATTTTTGAAAATAGTTTGTGTTAACATTGAAAAGTTTTAAGGGTTTGAACTTAAAATGAAAAAAATAATTAATGCACCATCTGAAATGACACATTTCTAGTCTTATACAGGGTTAAACTTTTAGCAAAATCTTGTAACAAGAATATCGTTTCATAGCACTTACTTGTTCTGATATACATATAACGAAAAGAGATGAAGAGAAAACTTCTCGTAAACTAATGCATGAGTCCTCACCATGTCTGGTATCCCTCACCATGTCAGGTATCATAGATGTAACAGATATTCTTGTTCTTAAATACATGCATACTCTATTTATATTTCTTTGCCAGGATTTTTACCTAATATAGCAGAGGTCTATAAAAGGCCAGAATAATTTTTTTCTTTCTTTCATGCAGATTTCCAAAACATTTAAACCTACATCAGCTGTTTACTTTCCAGTCAGCAATTTTAGTGAAAATTATTCCCAATATCAAGAGAATAAGACCTTTTCCAAATTAAGAGAGAAAAAAAAACTGTTAACAAACACTGTTTGTTTTTAGGATAATAGATGTTGATATCTCTCTTTGCTTGTAGCATTATAGGTGTTGTTATCTTTCTTGTAGGATAAAAGGTGTTGTTATCTCTGTTTACTTGTAGCATTATAGGTGTTGTTATCTTTCGTAGCTTCAATGTTAATAGGTGTTGTTATCTGCCTTTGCTTGTAGGTTTATATGTGTTGTTATCTGTCTTTACTTGTAGGTTTATCTGTCTTTACTTGTAGGTTTATCTGTCTTTACTTGTAGGTTTATATGTGTTGTTATCTGTCTTTACTTGTAGGTTTATCTGTCTTTACTTGTAGGTTTATATGTGTTGTTATCTGTCTTTACTTGTAGGTTTATCTGTCTTTACATGTAGGTTTATAGGTGTTGTTATCTATCTTTGATTGTAGGATGATAGAGATGAGATTTTGTCAAGACTGAGTGAGATGCAAGGGGAGAAAACTCGGATGGAAGCAGAACTTGAGAGATACCGTGAGTGTGACCCTGACGTCATTGAAGAGCTCAAACAAGAGACAAAAATAGCCAAAGAGGCTGGTAATCGATGGACAGGTAATAAGTCCTTTACATTTAATGTCATTTTGACTTTGACTTTAAACTGACTTCAAAATATTTGGGTCATCTACTGAGCATGGTTAATGTTTGAACCACATTGCATAATCCACTGCCTATTCATTCTCAACATTGCATAATCCACTGCTTATTCATTCTCATCATTGCATAATCACTGCCTATTCATTCTCAATGTTTTAATCTGAGCAGGGATTTTACATTCAATGCCAGAAGATGATTCCCATTTGTTTTGGGGTATTTAGCTCAAGGTCACAGTGACAAATATTTCAAGATTTGTTTTCTAAGGTTTCTGTGAAAACTAGAGTGTAATTAACAAATTAATTCAACCAGAATTTGATTCCGATGATTTGAATAATCATGAAATATTCTTAAGAATTTCAAAATAATTTCAAATGTCATATTTAAATACCGGTACTACCAAATTTTTTTACATTGATTTCTCTTGTTGATACATTACACTTAAGAAAATTTCTAAAGGTTAAATTACAAAATAGTAAATTCATTGCATTTCTAGTACTAGCCACCAAAGTGGATCACTGACGGTGTCATTCTTATGAATGATTAACCATGATGATCTTAGTTTTATTAAATGACTGGTTTGACAGAAAGGAAAGATAGGTGGAAAAGGGTTATACTTTTTAAAATTCCTAAGAAATCTTCAAAGTAACCAAGTCCTTGATTGGGTGAATATTCAAGCACTTGAGTACTAAAATTGGTACATAGTGCCATCCATACTTAAAACATAACAAATAACAACTTGGTGTATTATGTGATTATATAATTATCTTCAGTTGCCTTGTGCTATTTTAAATAAAATATGTCTCTTTGTTCGTATTTTCAGACAATATATTCTCAACAAAGTCATGGATAAAGAAAAAGTTTTGTTTTGAAGAGTCCGTAATAAACAAACAGTTTGAAATACCAGAAGATTTAGATTACCTGGAATGACATTTTATATTTCTTACATTGTTTATTTTATTTGTTCATGTTATGTTCATGTAAAAAAATGTTCATGAAATCACTTTATTTTACAATAAATTTGTTACATTTCTTAAAACTTTACAAAGATTGTAATTTGATTTTTGTTATAATCTTGAAAAACCTTTACTTAGATCTAAGAGACTGTTAAGGCTCATTATGCTGCAAAATCATATAAATTTCCCCTTAATATCGAGTTTAAAGTTTCAATAATGATTGCCCATTACCTGAAGGCAGTAGCACTGAATGTGAAATATCTGATTATAAAAGAAGCAAAATGTACACAAAGTAGTATTTTGACTTCAATACAAAATTCTAAATCACTATAACTGTACTTATTGCCAAAAAGTAACAGAAACAATAAATGGTTCAGGTAATTGGCAAAGGAGACTAAAACAAGGCACAAACAATAAAAAACTTTCAAGAAATTGAAAAAGAACAACTAAGCTTTTTCTTGTAATGCATCATGGGCTTTTAAAACTCTAGAAAGTTTAAATGTTGTTGATAAGGAAGATTAAACTTCTCAGATTAAAACCACACTGTAAAAACATACCATCATATGACCACACAATCAGTTAACTTATTTTGCCTATTTTATACTAAAGGTAGGGCTTCTCCTACTTCTTTTACATACGCATTTGTTTTTTTCCTATAACATTTTATAAAGGAGGATATACGTGTATATGTATACAGTGTACATGTATGTATCCTTACCTAGCGTTCATAAGAGCTTATAGACCATAAATAAAATGACAGTAGAAAAACTAAGCACTTGTGAGAAATTATAAGTTGAACTAGAGATATTAAATTCGTAGTGTTTAAATGCATTTCAAATTATGGTTCATTTTTATGCTGCATATAGTTGCTGCTTTGTCTGTCCGCTATTCTTGTACAGGACATAACTTTGAAACAACAAGAAGTATCAACATGAAACTTTCTAGGTAGATAGATCTTATTGAGTAGATGTGCAGTGTACATGAACCGTTACTCTGCCTTGCCTAATTTTGGATTTATTGCCCTTTGTTTATTTTTAGCTCCCCTGTCACAAAGTGACAGGGTGAGCTTTTGTGATCGCTTTTCATCCGGTGTCCGTCCGTCCGTCTGTCATCCGTAAACTTTTACTTTAAATGACATCTCCTCATAAACCACTAAGCCAATTTCATCCAAACTTCACAGGAATGTTCCTTTGGTGGTCACCTTTAAAAATAAAAACTTAAAATATCTTCTTTTAAAAACCCAATGAGGTAGAACTTAGATACTTGGCATGAAACATCTTCAGTGTCTATCAAGTTTGTTCAAATAAGAGCCCTGGGGTCAAAATTGGCCCCGCCCCGGGGGTCATTGATTTTCGCTTTATGCATATAGTTAAAACTTAAAAAATCTTCTTTTAAAAAACCCAAAGAGCTAAGATATTTAGCATGAAACATCTTCTATTGGGTGTCTACCAAGTTTGTTCAAATAAAAGCCCTTGGGTCAAAATTGGCCCCGCCCCAGTGCGTCATTGATTTTCCCTATTTGCATATACATCTGTAGTAAAAACTTAAAAAAAATCTTCTTTTAAAGAACCCAAAGAGCTAAGACACTTTTCTGTGTCTTAAACCTGCTGGGGGAGCATCACCCCGTTCAAACAGCTCTTGTTGTTTTTAGCTCGTCTTTTTTTTGGAAAAAAAGGTAGAAGTACTGTTATAGTTGTGGCGGCGTTTCCTTCGCCGTCTGCAAATTTGTACCTGGATCATAACTTTTTTATTTCTTGGTGTATTGTCTTCATACTTGGGCACAACAACCCTTGGGACAAGACCCTATATATAGCTGATGATCATAAGAAGAGAAACCGGTTTGCAAATAATCAAATAAGTTAACTCATGGACTGTGTTTTTTGTTTTATTTATATGTTACTTTTTTCCGGCACTTGTTTTCATTTTTGTGTCGCCTCTACGGAGTAGTGGCGACATATAGGGATCGCTTCTCCGTCGTCTGTCTGTCCGTCACAAAACTTGTCCGGACTACTTCTCTTAAACTACTGGTGCAATTTCATCCAAACTTTACAGGAATAATCAGTACCAAGTCTAGTTGTGCATATTGTCAGCATTTTCCGGTTGAATAATTTTTGTCAGAGTTATGGCCCTTTAATAATTTTTATTTTTAAAGTTTGTCCGGACTACTTCTCTTATACCACTAATGCAATTTCAATCAAACTTAACAGGATTGATCTGTAGCTCAAGTCCTTGCGCATATTGCACGGGTTTTCCGGTTGAACAATTTTTGGCTGAGTTATGGCCCTTTGATAAAAAAGGTGTTTTTTTCTGTGTGTTGCCAGATACACAAAAGCTTGTCCGGACTACTCCTCATAAACTACTGGTGCAATTTCATCCAAACTTTACAGGAATGATAAGTACCAAGTCTATTGTGCATATTGTCAGAATTTTTCGGTTCAATGATTTTTGTCAGAGTTATGGCCCTTTAATAATTTTTATTTTTAAAGTTTGTCCGGACTACTTCTCTTATACCACTAATGCAATTTCAATGAAACTTTACAGGATTAATCTGTAGCTAAAGTCCTTGCGCATATTGCACGGGTTTTCCGGTTGAATGATTTTTGGCCGAATTATGGCCCTGTGATACAAACGTGTTTTTTTCTGTGTGTTTACAGGAATGATCAGTACCAAGTCTAGTTGTGCACTGTCCGTCTGTCACAAAACTTGTCCCAACATGAAATTGGCCATCATGAGGCGACACATGTGATCACTGATCGCTCTTGTTTGTATATATATATATATATAAAAATGAGTATATTTATATATACAAAGTAAATAGACAAAACTAATGTGACAAGACAGACCGATTAAATTTATAAAAAGGAAACATTAAGATTTGTTCAAACATTTTAGAAAAAGTAAAAAGTCGAGCGTTGCCCCAGCCCGGCGGTGGCTCTTGTTATTACCGGTATATGGCTTTATTATCCCCCGCCGAAAATTTTCGGCGGAGGATATAGAAATAGTCTCCGTCCGTTCGACATTTTTGTCCGGAGCATATCTCTAAAAGTATTTGAGTTATCAACTTGAAACTTCATAGGTGGATAGACCTCATTGAGGAGGAGTGCAGTGCACAAGAATGATAACTCTACCTTGCATGATTTTTGAGTTATTGCCCTTTGTTATTTTTCAAAATTGATTTTTGTCCAGAGCATAACTCCAAAAGCCTATGAGATATTAACATGAAACTTCATAGGTGCATAGATCTCACTCAGGAGGTGTGCAGTGCACAAGAATGATAACTCTACCTTTCATAATTTTTGAGTTATTGCCCTTTGTTATTTTTCATACCTAATTTTTCACCTGAGTGGAGCATAACTCAAAAAGTGTTTGAGATATCAACATGAAATGTCATAGGTGGATAGATCTTATTGAGGAGGAATGTTGTGCGCAAGAATGATAACTCTTCCCTATACAATTTTTGAGTTATTGCCCTTTGTGTTTTTTTCATGCTATTTTGTCCAGAGCTTATCTCAAAAAGTATTTGAGGTATCAACTTGAAACTTCAAAGGTGGATGGATCTCATTGAGGAGGAGTGCAGTGCTTAAGAATGATAACTCTATCCTGCATTGTTTTTGAGTTATTGCCCTTTGTTATTTTTCAAAATGAATTTTTGTCCAGAGCATAACTCAAAAAGCCTTTGAGATATCAAAATGAAACTTCATAGGTGCATAGATCTCACTCAGGAGGTGTGCACTGCACAAGAATGATAACTCTACCTTTTATAATTTTTGAGTTATTGCCCCTTTGTTTTTTTTCATACTAAATTTTTCAATTCAATTTTTTTCTCAAAAAGTATTTGAGGTATCAACTTGAAACTTCATAGGTGGATAGATTTTACTGAGGAGGGATGCAGCACACAAGAATAATACCCTAACCTGCATTATTTTTCAGTAATTGCCCTTTGTTATTTTCAGCCATCAGTATTCACATAGGTTTCAAATCTGTAATCACTATAGCCATCAGTTTTCATTACCAAAAGACCTCTTAAAATGGAATTATTCCACTCTACTACATATACATTCTTCCAATGAGCAAACACATTCGGCGGGGGATGGCCATGTTGACATGGCTCTTGTTAAACTTGTGCCGCAGTTTATGTGATAAAACACTGTACTTTTGAGAATAAAATAAATATATTTTGCAGTATCCATTTAAACATCACTATCTTGTTATGTTAAAATGGCCATTTGAAAGATGTTTTAGTTACTTCATCACTTCTACTTTGTCCTGTAAGGAATGACCATTTTAAGAAATTAAAGTAAAAGACAACAATTGTTTATTAATCTCTATCTTTAGTTCCCTACTGTTTGTAATTACAGAAAATCCATGTGCGCTTCATATTCCTGTCCTGTATTAAGATTAAGAAACTTCACAGTGAACTCAGTCTCACCAACAATAAGGTATTGATCATAGTCCCACATATCAGGCCATCCATCTGATGGTGGTATAAGTATTACTGTTCCTACTAAGCTACAGCCCTCCTCCTTTATACAGTAATGAGGATCTTCTCTGGTAGATCTATATAGATTTACTTCCGCTTTACATTTTTTTCCTGCTGTTGTGATTCTATAACGCCCTTCAAATATAAATGTCTGTCCATACTCCACTATCTGACCTTTTGTTATCATCTTCTCAAAAATTTTGCCACAATAAATGACCCCATGATAATTAATCCTAAGTCGCTCTGGATGTATTCCCGCTCTAAATGGTTTTCTAATTACAAATCCATAAGTGTACCTGGACCTACGTTGAATGATGTTTTTAGGTTTCCAGCCCATCATCACTGCCCCATTTAACACAGCAAGTCTAGCATCATCTACAAGGATAACTCTCATGTTAAAGAACTGTGTTTGAATTCTCTCCATTACATAGGGAGATTCACTGTATCCTCCAACTAAAATGATTGTTTTTATTTCATTTTCATCACATTGTTTTAGTACTTCAACCAACTTGCTAATGATTTTTTCAACTGATGGCTTGAATAATTCTTCCAGGATCTCTCTGTTGAATGTAAGTTTAGCGTCACTAGAATTATACTTGAGTTTTCTTGCATATTTTGACTTTTTAACTATATAATTCAAGTTCTTTTTTTCCCCTCTTATTACATGCACAAGAGCATTTTCCATTTTCAATTGTATTGTATTCATTTGTGATTTAAATTCTTTTTTCTTCAATCTAAACTCATTAACAAGGCTTACATATGCTGATGGGTAGGTAGTTGAGAATTTACCCCAAACCTTTTTTCCTATTAAAGTTTTCATCAAGTTAATAAAACAATCATCAACTTCACTGCCACCAGAGGCTTCTCCTGTTGCCCGGTATATTTCTTGTATTTTGCCACCATCTATTATTTTATGAGCACATATGTCCGATGTTCCACCACCTAAATCAGCAAGTATGTACATAAACCCACTCGGCAATTCTTCTGTCATTATTCGTGGTGCACAGTATAAAGCTGCTGCCTCAGGCTCAAGAACAAGTCGAAGATTTGTTTCTGGAATTCCTGCTTTTGTTGAAGCTTCTCTCATAAACTGACGTGCCGAGTCAGATGATATTGCTGGTATTGTTATCATCCATTGAATGTCAGTTTCTTTCAGTCCAAGTATTGATTGACAAACTATCGTTGATGCTTCATCTTTTAGATGTTTTATAGCTATTGAAAAAACTGTCATTGCTCCAAGTGGTTTACCAGAAATATCTTTAATTACCATTTCTCTTTTAATTTTACTTTCTTGATATATTTTCATTTTAAAGTTTTCAAAGTAGTAAAATTGTGATCTGTCACATTCAAAAAGCTCATGAAAATCAGTCTGTGCTTTGTATCCAAATGAATGGAATGTTTTGTCTGGTTTTAATAACAATATTGTAGGTACTCTATCTTCCTGCAGCATTCCTCCATGTTCTGCTGACTTTATGTTGTCTTCATTTCCCTTAAAGGAATATGCAAACCCGGAATGAACTGTTCCAAAATCTATGGCTACTACAACAAGAGGCTTGTCCACTTTATCCTCTTGTTGAAACCCCTGAGATTCCTTTTGTCTGCTTTCAGTACTCTGTTCAGTTGCTTGTCTAACTGTTGGTTGTATGTTTGCTCCCATACTTGTTACAGTTTTTTTGTTACCAGCTTATCTTAACTTACTTTCCAGTTGTTTTTTGTATCTGGGTTTATTTTGAAACTCTGTCTTGATGTTTTTTCTCTTGCTTACAGTGTTTTGTTGAATTATTGTTAGTTGAAGGACTATGCTCATGACTGTTGTAGCAATGTTAAAGTGTTCAATTGAGATCTCAGTAGTGAATTAATCTTAAATAGAAAAGGGAAAAAATGTCATCTTTTCTTATTGTATTATACTGTGATAATGACATTTTTATTGCCAAATGATTAAATTTTTGTACCATTTGATGTAGGTTTAGACCAATAATATTTTCAGATTATTCCCTCATTTACCTAAATTAATATTTGTATTTTAAGAGTTACAAACATGCTAATTATCACACACACTAAAAACAACATTTTAATACATGTAATTTAATTCTTAGCATATTTCTCTATTATCCTTTGCAAATGTTTCAAGTGCTCCACTTGATATATGCAGGAATTTCAAATTTTATATTTTAGGGATTTAGACCACATTGGAGCTCCTTTAAAGATAGGTCAAAAGTAAAGAATAATTGATTAGAAAATGCTGATTTATTATGATTGATTTTAACATTTCAAAAAGATTTAGAAAAAAAGTTTTTTAATTAATATTCACTTACCATTATTTCCTGCTATCATATTTCACCAAAATGTTACAACTTTAATTTAGACTTGTGCCATGCATATACATGTTGACTTTATTTCATCCACTGGTTCAGCTTAAAGATTAATTTGAAAAGTACTTATAATGTAGATAGGAATTCTATAGCTCTAATCTCATTTGGACATTTATATATTTTTCTTCAATAGCATACTGTTAGCATAAACAGAATTAGTTGTATCAGAAATGATTTTAGCAAACAAAATCATTGATATAATTCACGAATTTGATAACCTAGCTAAACATCGACTTCCATTTCTTTCTGTACATAGCTCTGGGGAATTCACCTAAATGGCTTGTATTAGTGACAAGTATGTTTTTTGCCTTTGTCGGGTTAAAATGAAATAAAACAATTTTTTTATTTGGTAAAAATGATTAAATATCATTGTAAAAATAATTCCATGCAAAAAAAATATATGTTAATACATTGTACATAAGTTTATTTAGAAAATAGCTCTTTTCATTATGGCAGGTGTCACTATGACTTTTAAAAATTTATGTATTATTTTCATTGTAAACAGTCTAATTTTTGTAAAATTTGAGATACATAGCAAAAGGAACGTTGTTCTGTTATTTAGTTTAAACATATTTTATTCATCAATTTTTACAAGCATGTAACATTTTTGCATCACAATATATATGGATTGGAAAACAAGCATAACACTTATATTAATTCCTTTCCATGATGGAGTTTCGTCTTTGTTATTTCACTTTATATGATCAGTGCATGTTTTTAAGTTCAAAATTGATCTAAATTAATAATTTTCGGAAGGTTTTACTTGATTTTTTGTTTATTCATTTTCCCTTTTAATAAAAAAAAAAGAGAGAAGAAAATGAAAATAATAATAACAATAATAAAAAAAAGAGAAAAAGTTGTGTCACACAGTTTGTCATGGAAATACGATGTTTAAAACGCTGAGTCGGGAATTATGAATCGAAACGCTTTGATGCTTCAATGAAGCTCTGGAAAAGTGTGAACAGATTCTGATTTATGTCCATACTTAGGCGATCATTGCCGAAAAGAAGATTATTATGGGTTGGGGCACAGGGTATGTCGTCAAAGAATTGCTGACGTATGATATGGTACTTAGGACAACTGAGCAGAAAGTGGGAAACAGTTTCTATAGCACCACATGTACACAAAGGAGACGAGATTAAGTTTTTCCTATGTAATTCGAAATTAAGAGAGCTGCATCCAAGTCTGAGACGTGTATGGTTTACTTGGTTTTTCCTGCTGCCAAAATTATACAGGTGTTTTTTCTTATTAGACGACATATTTCTGTAGTTGAGTTTGTGTTTGAAAGCACTTACTGTGGATGCATTTCTAATATTTCCAGGTAAAGAATTCCACTGGCGAATAGTATACGGAAGAAAAGAAGTAGCATATGATTGGGAGTTGCAGTGTATTAATGGGATATCGGTGTTAGAGCGAAGAGTGTAAGGTTGATTAAAATGTTCTGGTATCAGACCAGAGAGATAATCAGGAGCGAGACCATTTTTCATTTTATACATAAGTACGAGACGATGTTTTCTTCTCCTTTCTGCGAGTGTATCCCAACTGAGGTCACTAATTAATTTGTTGATGTTGCAAAACTTAGTAGCTCCTGTGACGATTCTTGCTGCTTCATGCTGAACTGATTCAATATCATTTTTTAGTTCATTACTACAGTTATCCCACATCACGTCGGCATACTCAAGCAAAGGTCTAATAAAGGCTACATATAATTTCTTCAATCCCGCTCTAGAAATAAGAAATTTCAGACTTCGAAGAATACCAATTCTCTGCCAAGCTTTATTAACATTTGATGTTATATGTGATGTCCATTTACCATTTTCAGAAAAGATGACACCAAGGTGCTTGTGTTCTTTAACACTAGAAATGTTCACATTATCAAATACTAGACAAGGGTGTTGGGGTTTGTTTCGTTTTCTTGAGAAAAGGACATGTTCTGTTTTTGAGGGATTAAATGAGACAAGCCAAGTTTTAGACCACACAGAAATTTTTGAAAGATCGCAATTCAATATTGCAGCAGAAGAGTTGGGATCTTCGACAATGATATAGAGACTAGTGTCGTCAGCAAAAAGTCGAATGTTTGCTTCAATATCAGTGACTATGTCATTAATGTATATTAGAAACAGGAGAGGGCCTAAGATGGACCCCTGAGGTACTCCAGCATTGATATTTAAAAGTATTGAAGAAGTATTTGATATGATGACTCTTTGTTTTCTGTCAGCAAGATAAGATGAGAGCCACTGAAGAAGAGAACCTTGTATGCCTAAAGAAGAAAGTTTATAGAGGAGTCCTTGGTGCCAAACCCTGTCGAAAGCTTTTGATATATCACAAAATACTGCGCGAACTTCTTTTCCTTCATCTAGGGCTTTGCTGATGTCATTGTAAAGAAAGGTTAGCTGATTTATGGTTGAATCCCCTTTAATGAATCCTGATTGAAATGGTGTTAATAGTTTATTTGAAATGACATGGTTATACAAGTATTTATGGATGCATCTTTCCATAACTTTTCCGAGACAACTTAAAAGAGATATAGGTCTGTAGTTACATGTTTTAGAAGGATCGGACTTTTTATAAATAGGACAAACATTGGCAAGTTTCCAGGAAGAGGGAAATACAGATTTTAAAAGAAGTTTGTTGAAAAACCTTGCAAGTGGTGAAGCTAGTTCATCCTTACCTTCCTTAATGAGCCTTGGGCTAATTAAGTCCGGACCAGATGCTTTAGCTGAGTCCATAGAGTTGATAGAGTCCTTAACGTCTTGAGCAGTGACTGTTACACCAGAAATGAGGACGTTTGTTCTGTTATTTCATAGTGAACTCAGTCACACCAACAGTATGGTTTAGATCAGAATCCCACATATCTTGCCATCCATCTGACGGTAGTATAATTGTTCTCCTTCCTAACAAGGAGTCAATCCTCCTCCTATACAGCAATGAGAATGCTCTAGGGTAGAATTATATATGGGGGATGATCCAAAATAAGATAGGCTTACTTTTGCTGTTGCTTAAACAAAGTTGGTTAAAATTTAGTAAATCATATACAATGTATTGTCAATAAGTCAGAACAATAGAAAGGTATCATTTGGATATCAAGATATTCTTATATAATATTTCTTTGCAAAAAAATGCTATTCAAGGTCTAAGTGATTTAATAGATGAAAAGTATTTTGTTATAGAACACTTTTATTATCTGCTATATAAATATATGTTAATTCAAACCATGTACTTCATGCATGCCAATAATATTCATATATAATTATGTCTCGAATTTTTTTTTAGGAAACATATTGTTTTTGCCTTTGCTGTCTGTCTGTCCCCCTGGTTGTCACTTCGTCCGTCTGTCTGCAATAAGCTTGTCCAGCTTTCACAGGTCAAACTACTGATGGGATTTCAACGCCACTTTACAGAATTGATCCGTACACTTCCTAGTTGTGCACTTTGCCTGCACATTCTGCTTCGCTGTGTAAAATGGCCCCAGAGCAAAAAAAAAATAGAAAAATCTTGTCTGGCTTTCAAAGGTAAAACTGCTGGTGGAATTTCAATGGAACTTCTCAGGAGTGATCAGAACCATCCCTAGTTTTGCATATTGCCAGCACGTTCCGCTTCCCGCCAGAAAAAAAAATTAGAAAAATCTTGTCTGGCTTTCATAGGTCAAACTGCTGGTGAGATTACAACCAAACTTCACAGGAGTGATCAGATAATGACATCTAGGGAAAGACAGGGATTATGATTTCAATCCCAGCTGTACTGTACTGTAATTCTGAAGAGCCTTTTAGATTAGTTTTTGGACCAAAATTCTGCAACACCACCCTCCTCCCTGGTCTTTATTATTAACCAGTCTGTAATTTGCCCTCACCTTTTGTCTAATTTTACCACTCAAATTTTTGTCCTCTTGCCAGACACTAGCCATGGCTGACTAAGAGTTTGTGTGTATATATTTTCTTTCTTGAAGATACAATAAAATGTTCTGTACTTATTTAGGGCAATCTCATTCTCTAGGGAGGAAAGTTTTCGAAGAAAAAATAATTTCCTCTTCTTTTCATTAACCAGATTTATATGCCTTGTTTCTGGGTATATAACTGATATATCACAATGAAGTACATGTATTTAAGAAAACAATAACTCTGTCTTGGGCATATCTACTCTACTGTTAATCCTTAATTGTATTGTTCTTTACTTCCATTAACACATTACAAAGAATAAATATAACACTGTACTTGTGAGAACAAAATAAATATTTTGCAGTTTCCATTTAAACATCACTATCGGCTCATGTTAAAATGGGCATTTAAGAGATCATTTAGTTACTTCATCACTTCTACATGTATTTTTTTCCTGTGAAAGATATGACCATTTTAAGAAATGAAAGTAATAAATAGAGGATATTCAAGTTTTTTCTATAAATACATGATTTATTTTCATCGAGTGGTATGAAAATAAATATTTCATGAGTGGCGGTAGCCACGAGTGAAATATGGTAATTTTCATGCCACAAGATGAAAATAAATCATGTATTTATAGAAAAAACTTGAATTTTCTGTTTATTATATACATTTTTCTCTTTTTTGACATTACAATTTGAAAAACTTTCCCTTAAATTTTGTGCACTGGCAGAATTTAAAAGAAAGTAGTCTGGCAAGACACCAGTGAAAATACGGAAAATATGTTTCACTGCAGTGAAAAATAAATTTTTACAGTGAAAATACGGAAAATGAAAATACGCATTTTATTTCATCAATATTTCTCAATATTTCATTTATAAGTATGTAATAAACAATTGTTTATCAATCTCTATCTTTAGGTCCCTACTGTTTGTAATAACAGAAAATCCATTTGTGCTTCATACTCTTGTCCTGTATTAAGATCAAAATACTTCACAGTGAACTCAGTTTCACCAACAATACAGTCCTCCTCCTTTGTACAGAAATGAGGATCTTCACGGGTAGATCTATATAGATGTACATGTCTCTCTTTACATTTTTCTTCTACTGTAGTGGCTGTTTGATACCCTTCAGATATAAATGTCTGTCCATACTCCACTAGCTGACACCGCCTCCGTGGTCGAGGGGTTAGAGTCGATGACTTCTAATCCAGTTACCTCTCTGGCGTGGGTTCGATCCCCGGGAGAAAGCTTTGGTAGTTTAGCGCGGAGGAAGGTAGTCTAGTACTGGTGTAACTCTCCAGGAACGATGGTTAGGAAACTACCCGCCTATATGACTGAAATACTGTTGAAAAAGGCGTAAAATGAAACAAACAAACAAACAAACAAATCCACTAGCTGACCTTTTTCTGTTATCTTGTGAAATCTCCAGTCACAAAAAATGTCCCCATCATGATTAATCCTAAGTTCTTCTGGATCTATTCCCTCTCTGAATGGTTTTCTAACATGAAATCCGTAAGTGTACCTGGACCTACGTTGTATGATGTTTTTAGGTTTCTAGCCCATCATCACTGCCCCATTTAACACAGCAAGTCTAGCATCATCTACAAGGATAACGCTCATGTTACTGAATGT